ATACAAAGAGAACCTGCTTGGGGTTTCTGACCTGGCGCAGGCGGGGTATCCATTTCTCCCTGAAAGAAGACGAATTCATGACCTGGAAGTTGACGCCTGATCATGAACAATTGGGCTTCGAAGATGGCCTTCCCAGTACCAACGCCGTGCAAGCATAGAATTCGCATAGTGGTAAAAGTTCAAATTGGGTGTATCTGAATGATTTCGAGATCATTCGGTTTACGAAAAGCCTTTTTATATAGCACAATGACTTTAACTAGAGTTTTTTTTGAATCAATAGTTAGAAGCTATGGTTGACACCTACGATGGTATATATTCCGAAACTTGATGTATTGAATTCATGATTATACATAACAAAAATCTATGTAAAACTACATTTCATCTTAGTTTTCGTGGAGAATCATATAATCAATTGATTAAGATGATCTTTCTTGCTTGAATTAGATTAGACTAGTAATATTTGTTAAAATTATTAAATTAAGCAAGTGAAATATGCTGTGTTATCCAAGACCCAAAAGCACTTTCACGTGTCACAATGAGTATTCACCACAGAATCTAATCGCTCTGTAGCACTTACATGTAATCTTCATGTGAATATCATCTTTTCGTGGTAACATTGTAGTTCTAACTAGTACCGATCACGCGTGGCAAAGCCTATAACATGTGGAAGCCTGCCGTAACCTGTAACCACCTCCCTTACAAACAATGTGTCATAAATATCACACCGCAAGTTCAAGATTTATCTCATCTTTCAGCCGCGCAATTGAAAACAGTGAAGCGATCTAGATCAGCGGATTTAGAGCATGCAGTGTAGTCTAAGTGGAAGACCCTTCAGCTAGCCACCGAGTTTCTTTATTTATAGCCTCGGAATACAGTAAAACCCAGAGTCGATCTTGGTATAATCTCACAGTCCTCTTCTCGACTCTCTATCACTGAAGCGAGAGCAAAATGGCCAAACTCGACTCAGAGTTCAACCCCCCTCAATTCAACTTCGTGCGCGAAGTTGTTGATCGATGGAGTCGACATCGTGGAGACTCTCCCGCATTGGTTCTAGTCACGCAGAAAAGGCGCAAAGATGTGTCTTATCGTGAGCTGAGTGATCGCTCTATACAAGTTGCATCGGCGCTTTATGAGCTAGGGCTACGACCAGGAGATATCATAGTGATTTCGGCAGCACGGTGTCGAGACTGGTATGAAATTCTATGTGCCTGTCTGCGCAGTGGAATTATTGTCTGCCCTGTTGCTAGTGGACTTTCTAGCGCAGATCTGGAATATCGCATTCAGAAAGTTCAAGCGAAAGCATTCATCGGCGACCTTGTTCAGATGGAAAAGGTATTGCTTGTCAGACCCCGTCTCGCTTTGCTACAGCACATGATTCAGATTGGATATGATGATAGGATCGCAGATGCGATCGACTACTCGGTCTTGGTGGCCACGGGTCGGGCGAACTTAGTGGACACTACGATCAACTCAGTGAAAAAATCCCCTGCCATCATTTATTTCACATCCGGCACGACTGGGGAACCCAAGACGGCCCAGCACAACCAAATTTCTCTGCCTCTGGGTAGCAAGATTGCTGGAGAACACTGGGCGCAGCTTTCTCACAATAGCCTATTCTGGAGTCTCTCAGAAGTTGGCTGGGTGAAAGGCTCATGGGCTGTTTTTGCCGCATGGAATCATGGGGCTGCATTACTGGTTGATGAAACGCCGAGTCAGATGTTCGACCCCATTCATACGCTCCGAATCATGCATGAATATCCCGTCACCAACTTTTGTGCAACTCCGACAGCCTATAGGCAATTAGTTACGTCCCATAGTCAGGAGTTTGCGGCTTCGCATCCTCCACAGATGATCAAAATTTGCATCAGTGCTGGCGAGGCAATCGAAAGCACTGTGATCCAGGCCTGGGAGGAGATGACGCGGGGAGCAACAATTTTGAATGGCTATGGTTTAACAGAGGCAGCTTTTCTCTGTACTGAAACCATAGAGAACCAGCGGCCAGGCTCAATGGGGCGACCTCTCCCAGGCGTTCCACTGGAGATCTTAAGCGATGACGCGGAGGCGGTGGTGATTGGAGAGGAAGGTGCTATTGGAGTGTGTCTTTCTGACTGCAAGGATTCTATATACGATGCCTTTAATGGCTACATGAACGAGGATGGTGTTGTTACTCGGCCAACAGTACGAAACGCAGCGGGCAAGGAATATTACTTAACAGGAGATCGAGCTTATCAGGATGAAGAGGGCTACTTCTGGTTCAAGGCCCGAAAAGATGACATCATCAATTGCTCGGGATATCGCATTGGACCTAGTGAAGTTGAAGCGGTCTTACAGAGTCATCCGGGGGTGCTAGAATCAGCGGTGGTTGGTATTCCAGATGAAGAACGTGGGTCTATCATTAAGGCCTATGTTGTCTTGAACCAGGGGTATGAGACTAGACCCCCTCGAAAGCTGCAGGTCGAACTTCGCCAACATTTTCTGAACAACAGTGCACCCTACAAATGTCCCCGAGTCATTGAATTTATACCCGGAGCTAAATTACCTCGAACGGTCACCGGGAAAGTACAGCGACATGAGCTTCGAGCTTGGGAGCAGAGGTCCAACCAATGACATCACTTTCTCTATGTGTTCTTTATGTATTCCTTAGCCTTAAGACTAGTAAATTCGACGATCAATATCCACCCACTATGTGAATTGCATATGCAAAGTGAATAATAAATGGTTTAACCCCGCCTGCAGTCGTCTTTTTTGTAAAACCTTATGAAGTGGAGACTCAAAGCGATTCACCTACCAGATGTATGCCTTAGCGATCAGGGACACTACAAGCCTATTTTTAGCGGTTAATTCTGTTGAGACAAATACAAGCTAATTATGGGCATCACCATTTAGTAATACAGGTGCAAGTTATATTGGGTTTTAGCGTAGAACATTATCGACATGGAAGTTTTCCATGAATCTGTAACCCAAAATTGAATTGGTATTGAATTTTTAGCTATCTGAGTTCACCCAGTACACCCACGGATGAAACAGGCGGCCTTTCTCAATTGGGCTTAGCTCGACCATCTGGCTGTCTAGAACTATTCGTCACACTATGATTCGTCTAAATGTAAAGATGACCACCACTGACTGAAATGGTATTTCCATTGATCCAACTGGCACCAGAGCTAGCCAGGAAGGCCACAACATTAGCAACCTCTCCAATGCTACCATGGCGTTTTGCCGCACTCGGTCCATCGACCTGTGCATCCCGAAATTTGTCTGGAATGTCTCCTCCCTCGACAGCAGTGTCGATCTCACCCAGGGCCAAGTTGTTAACCGTCATTTTGTACGGGCAGGCGAGTTCATGCGCCCACTGACGTCCCAAGCATTCCAAGGCAGCCTTGGTGGATGCGTATAGGGAGAGATTGCTGACACCAATACGAGATACTCCCGACGATCTACAATGTTTTGTGAGTTGCTTGTCATAGAATAGATGTTTAGGAGTACAAACATGTTGATTACTCGACCATCTTTTTCAACGAGATGAGAGAGCAACGCCTGCACAAGAAGATGTGGTGCACGCACGTTGACCATATATTCGCTTGATTAAATTGTCAGTTTCTGAAACGAAATGGTATGTTTCAGGGAAACACTTCAAATGCTTACTGATCAAATAATGCCCCATCCAGTTCTAATACTGGTAGGAATGGAGGATATGATGCAGCATTGTTAACGAGAATGTCAATTTTGCTGACATTGAGTCCTTTCAAAGCCTGATCGATAACACGACGTCCAGCGTCCAGCGTCGCAAGGTCAACTTGCACCAGGCAGGTCACACTTCCTAATTCACTAATTTGACTTGCGACTTTCTGAGCTAGCGGGGTACTTTTATCTGATTGGTACACAATGGCAACTTTAGCACCGCGCTTAGCAAGTTCGAGAGCGATGCCAGCTCCGATTCCACGGGAACCGCCAGTCACTATGGCGGCTTTTCCTTCGAGAGAGATATTGGGGGGAAGGTTAAACGAAGTCATTGTCACTTTTCTTAGTTAGGTAGACTGATCGAGGAGAAAAGTGGAATGTGATGGAGGAGTAGAATTTCAACACTTTGGGCTTCCTGAAAAAGTATCAAGCGGCGTTTTTATGAATCGTCGCGAATGACACATGCTACAAGATTCATCTGTAAATCTCCACATGATGTGTTCCTTGCAAACATAGCTCAAGTATTTCTGCATTACATGTCTCACGCAATGCATGTTCCATCGCCGTATGGAGCTGTTAGCGGAAAGATCGTACGCGATCTATCTTTTAACTAACACAACGCATGAATGAAGCATGCAGGATGATCTGGCCCTGCAGGGCACTCGGCTACTGCTAGGTACCTGCACACTACGAAAATGAGATTTTGTGTATCCTTCAAACAATTCAATATTGGTTGTTCTCGCATAATCAGGCTAAATTACTATGTGATATCCTGTGTAATGTAGTGTTGAAGTTGAAGTTTGAAGAATGGTATGCTCGAGTCAGTTCTTGTCAGATGATTCACCCCCCCTGGTCTAATTCGTCTACATTTCTGTATCCCCTCAGCTCCCCTCTCTTTCCCTACATCCATATCTCCCGTACACTATTAGCTCTCACTATCAAGACTCTGAATCATCCGATTCTCGAGGTTTTAAGTCTTTCTAGAACTCACATCAAAATATAGTCTTAATTTGATAACTAAAAGATATACTGAAATAAAGTTTTGCTTTCAAAAGATTTAATAATTCAGAATTTTACATAATACCACGATATTCAATAAAGATCAAGAGTTCTATCACGCACTGTCTTACATATCCGCTGTCAAATGTGATTCATGACTTCGATGTAGTGGACCATACATATGCATCCAGCAATAACTGCATAATTTATCGTTGATAAAGTAATGAACTGAAAATTGAATGTACCATTAGGTATCCTAACTTTTTCTGTTTCCTCAATTACGCTTCTCAAACCATCTTTGCGCTTTTTCCAATTTCCCAAAGATGGGCTCCACCGTGCGAGAAAGTACTTGCTATGATTCAACCTATCTGGCCGAATACTACGACATTTGGACAGGCACGCGCAATGATACCAGCTATAATTCAAATGCACTCATCCAGATGGTCTTTAAGGCACCATCCTCACATATTCTTGTGCTTGATGCTTGCACTGGCACTGGCCGGCTGATTCAGGCAATCACTAGCTATGCGAAAGGAGAGCCTGATATTTCCCTCGCTAATGTGGAGTTCATTGGACTCGATAACGAACCTCATATGATTGCGCGAGCGGAGAAAATCAATTCAAAACTACCTGTTCAAGCTGGCTGTCGAAGCATAATTTGGCTTCTGGGCTCAGCGCTGGAGATGTCCTCTCTTCCCGTCTTTCAAACAAAAAAAGTTGACCTTCTCACGATTGGTTTCGGAAGTATTTCGCACTTCTATCAACCAGGTCAACCTGAAATGTTTTTAAAAGAGGTGGCTCATATCCTGACTCCGGGAACAGGAATAGCTCACATCTCCATCGTGAGCAAACTCATTGCAGACCCAGAATTGGGTCTGGATAAGGATATAACAGATTCTTTGCCACCCAGTGAGCATTCCAGTGTCGAGTTTCCAGGTGTAGTTTATCGAGAGAAGGTGGTAGAAAATGGCGTTCAAGGAAATATTTGGCGTGTGGTCAGAGACATTGAGGTCTGGAAGGGTGAAACTTTAATCGAGAAGAATCTGGACGCAGCTTTGTTTCGTGTATGGACAGAGAAAGAGTTAAGGGAACTGGTTGCTGGAGCTGGCTTGCGAGTACTAGAGATAATTCCACAGGAGGTAGATACATTATTTGTAGTGGGGTTTTGAAGTTTTGTAGCTACACGCCACTAAAATCGACATATATTTTTCGTGCAAGTAACCTGAAAGCATTGCAGTGCACAAAGAGCTGATTGATGCCCAATGTGTACATTAAATTGCCGATCAGAGCGACGTAATATAAATATATATATATAGACACTCCCTCTTGAACTTTTTACACAAATTACATATCATTTCCAGAATTCCTTTCAGTCCGCACACTGTTATTCACTATGGAAAGTATCGGCGAAACCTCGGTGCTTAGAATTCAAACCCCCCATGATCTCATCAAAGATTCCTGGTGTCGGATCCTCAGTCTAGACGACGAAGATGTTGAACCCGACTCGAACTTCTTCGCCCTGGGTGGAGATTCTATAGATGCCCTAAAAGTAGCGCGGCTGGTACAGCAAGCTGGAATAGCCCTAAATGTGAATCTCATGCTTCGTCATCCCCAATTCTCGGACATGGTAAAAGCTGTTTTGGAACAATCACTACAAGAAGTGAAAAAAATCGAACGCCACGAAGACGCGGTCTCTACCCGGTTCATTCAAATTTCGGAATCCCGGCAGCACGAGGTTCTCTCCTCAGCGGTGCAACAATGTCACATTTCTGAGTCGGAAGTAGCGCGCCTGTTTCCCTGCACACCGATGCAGATGGGCCTTGTAGCCCTTACAGCTCAACAGCATGATCTATATTGGGCCCAACAAAGTTTTGAATTGCCGAGTGACTGGCCAGTTGCCCAAGTAGAGACTGCTTGGAAACGGGTGGTCGAGGCAAACGAAATACTTCGCAGCCGGATTATACAGCTGTCTGATGGAACGTGTTATCAAGTGGTACTTCACTCAGAAAATGGCACAATGAATGAAGAGGTCAAAGGTGGTAATAGCAACCCCCCATTTGGACAACCCCTGTTCTATTGTTGGATAGAATTAGGGCGACTTGAATGGCGTGTCCATCATGCTGTTTATGATGCGTGGTCGCAGCGGTTGATCTTTAACGCGTTGGTAGATGCCTACCGAGATCCAACCAATCCAAAAATTATTCATCCTCCCTTCTCGTCCTTTGCTGGATATCTGGCGAAGATGGATTTGAGTCAATCTATGAGCTTTTGGCGCCAGCATTTGCATGGCTTTGAGGGACAGGCATTCCCCCGGCCCCTAGCAATGGACGAGCCGCGAGATCAGGCCCATGTTTCGATGGAATCTACATGGGACCAGAATCAGCATCATCTCGGGTTTACCGCCGCAACGGCCATCCAGACAGCATGGGGTATTGTTCTTACGCGCTATAATGAATCTTCCGATGTTGTTTTTGGGGTGGTAAGCATGGGAAGAAGCACTGCAATTGCGGGTGAAGATGTCGCCCGCATCATCGGCCCGACGATTGCTACTATCCCCTTTCGTTTCCAACTTGATGAAGCCACCACTGTGAAGGAATCTTTAACAGCTACACAGTTGCAATATGGAAATTTTTTACCTCATGAACATTTTGGTTTGGCACACATTTCCTCATTGGGAGATTCCGGGCCATCTCAAGCCTCCCGTTTTCAAAGTCTTTTGGTGATACAACCGGAAGAAGTTGATGACAGCCCTATCCATGAGATATTGGCTGAGCGGCGAGATGATTATATGGAATACCCTCTATCACTTGAATGTTTCCTCGGCTCAAATTCTATTCACCATTCAATCACTTACAGCAAGGCCGTCATGGGTCAATGGCAAGCAGAAAGACTCCTCGAAAATTTCATTCATGTGCTGAATTGGATCCTCCAGCCATCAAATCAAACATCTCTTGTGTCACAGCTAGAAATGTGGACCGCAACCGATACTAAAATCATGCAGCAGTGGCATTCAACCCCTATCGACTTGGTCGAGGAATGCATCCACAGGTTGATTGAGCAGCGTTCAGTTTTGGGTAAGTGGGAAGATAGTCCTGCCGTTTGTGGATGGGACGGCGAATTTTCATACAGTCAACTGTTCTCAGTATCGAAGCGGTTAGCTCAACGTCTTCGTGTTGCGGGTGTGGGTCCAGAGATCTTGGTGCCTATAGCTCATGAGAAGTCCTGCTGGACTCTGATCAGTATACTCGGAGTTCTTCAGGCGGGCGGTGCATTTGTTCTGTTGGATAGTGGACTACCGGTAGCTCGCATGCAGACTATGGTTTCTGTGGTACAAGCCCCCCTACTTATCTGCTCTGAAGCTCTTCAATTCAAAGTGTCCGGCCTAGCCAATCAAATACTGTGCCTGGATTCTGTGATGCGGAAAGAGCTGCAACAGGAGCAGCCCACGAATCATACAGATGCCTTTTTCTCGCCTGGTGTCGCGGCCAACAATGCAGCCTATGCCGTTTTCACATCTGGCACCACTGGAATTCCAAAAGCCGTCGTGGCAGAACACCGCCAAGTTGCTACTGCATTCCATGCACAGGCCATGCAGGGTATGTTCCAGCGCAATCGTCGCATGCTGCAAGTTGCGACCTACAGTTTTGATCCATCAATTGCGGACATGTTGGGACCATTGTTAGTGGGAGGAGTAGTATGCATTCCACGGGAAGAAGAGGTTCTCACCGCACTAGCAGGCGTTATATCTCGGTTCCAGGTAGATGTGATTGATATCACCCCATCAGTAGCTAACATCTTGGAGCCACTCGACGTTCCTAATTTGAAGGAGTTACGCCTGGGCGGGGAAACTGTGACTGCGGCGCAGCTGAAGCGATGGACCAAAATACCTCACTTTCAATTCCACAACAGTTATGGTCCCAGCGAATGTTGTGTCACTGCGGCACTGACTCCACCGCTACATCCTTCAGTGAACCCCTTGAATTTTGGTTCTCCTGTCGGTTGTCGTATGGTGATTGTGCATCCTGATAATTGCAGTAAGTTGGTGGCATTAGGGCTGGTAGGAGAACTCGCGATTCAAGGCCCTATTGTCACTAGAGGGTACCTGAATAATGCAGAAGCCCAGAAAAGAGCATTTGTTGAGATATCTCCATATAAAAGGTTTTCGGAAGCTACGCCACCCTGGGCGTCAAGAGTTTATTTAACTGGAGATCTGGCTCGGTTTGCACCGGATGGCTCTGTGATTTTTGTTGGTCGCAAGGATCATCAAGTCAAGTTGAATGGACAGCGCATTGAGCTTGGAGAAATTGAAGCTACTGTTACAAAAATCGAAGGGTTGGAGGAGGCTGTCGTGATGATCATTAAGAGTAATGGCCGTGCAGAGCTGGTTCTAGTTGCTCAGTGGAAGAACAATTCAATAGCACAACCAGAAGGTATCCAAGACAGCAACATCAACAGCATTAATAGCATGGAAGACCTGAAGGTACTAGATCTGCCTAATGTATCTGCCACGACCCTGCGGCAACTTGCCGCAATGCTACCTCCATATATGGTGCCGGCTGTATGTCTTCTGACAGACCGTCTCCCTTTATCATTGACTGGTAAGACGGATCGCAAGGGACTTCAACGATGGATAGAACAACAAGACCTCTCGCCATGGCGAAGGACTATCGCAACAGCTACAATTCCGGTTTCTGATACTGTAGCCCGACAACTGAGCGAGCTACTGGAACCTTTCCTGCCGGATGGATCTATTGAAGACCCCGAAAATCCTCCTGATATCGCTCCGGTGTCAGCAGGACTAGACTCAATTCGCATGGTCTCGTTTGTGCGCGCGATCAATCGCACCTTTGGCATTCTCTTACCACTAAGTCGGATTCCTCGCACCATGCTTCTTACTGAGTTGGCTATCACGGTCAAAGAATTACAGTCCCGAAAAAATACAAACGGAGAAGAAATAATGGAAAGGGAAGATGTTGAACCAATGCTCCGTGATCTTCAGAAAGGTGTCTCGTCACATTTTGCGTCTGGCCCCACGCCTTCCTCGGCTATACATAAAGTCTTCTTGACAGGTGCGACTGGATATGTCGGAACTGCCATTCTCCAAAGACTCCTATGCACTCCTTCTCTTCAGAGTGCTTACCTTCTTGTTCGCGCAGAGGACGCAGATACTGGACTTGAGCGTGTGCGTGCTGCAGCCATCAAAGCTGGTTGGTGGGATGAGACGCTACATTCTTCCAAAATTCAAATCTGGGTAGGGGATCTCTCCAAACCGAAACTTGGCCTCAAAAGCTCCCAGTGGGAACAGCTGGAAGGATGCCACACACCCACCGATGCCTCACAAATAACTGGAATCATTCACAACGGAGCTCTTGTACACTGGCAGTACAGCTACTCTGAGCTCCGAGCAGCCAACGTAGATTCTACCAAACAATTAGTGTCGATAGTGACAAGGAATCCGCACATTGCTCGCTTGGAATATATATCTGGAGGCGCGCAATGGGATCCATCTGAAGAAGAGACTGTTTTTTCTACACCCACACTCCAGCAAAAGCTGCAAGAAACGAATGGTTATGGACAATCAAAATTGATCGCCGAGCAAGTCGTGGCAGCGACGGCAGCACTGCAAAAATCAGAAGGAACCCCGGGGAGTCGACTTGGAATCCTGAATCCGGCTTTAATCATCGGTGGCCCAAGTCATGGTCATGCGGCTAACCTCGATGACCTGATCTGGAGACTCGTTAGCGCATGTGTGCTCGTGGGCGAGTACTACCCCGAGCCCGAGGAGTGGATTTACATTTCTAGGGCAGAGGATGTTGCTCAGATGACTGTGAATGCCTTGATAGATCCCACGGCCACCAGGAAGCAGAGAAAGATGCTGAACGGAATTCGGGTAAGAAATTTTTGGGAGGCGGTCAATGCTGCTCTTGATACTCCCTTGCGTGCCAGCGAGACGTATGCTGTCTGGCTTGGTAAGCTCAATGAATCTTTATCTGAGTTTGGTGATGGACATCCATGTTGGCCTGTTATAAATGTTATTGAGACGATAGGTCCAGGACTTCTTAGCAGTCCAGCCCCTGTGTGGACTGATGCTGATGATTGGGAAGAGATGGAGCGGGTCATGGCTCACGCCGTTACACTAAATGTAACATACTTGCAGAACCTTGGGTATCTTGGAAGGACTTGGTCTGGTAAGGACTTCCCTGGGGGCTTTAGGAGAAGAGGTTGAGATCTTTGTGGGTTTGCGGGGAGGCAGGGTTTGTCTTCCGCTTTCCTTCGAAGTAATCTTGGCATTTTTTTTAGTCAACCTTCGTTTGATCAGTGACAGCCCATGTAAAGTTTGTTTTGGGGAATTGACTTTTATTTGTCTCGATTTTATTAGACTTCGACTACGAAGTACGACTTCAATACATTACCTAGTCTCGTTCAGTTAAATGCCGATTAGTCAGCTTTTGTTCTCAGCCCTCATCTAAATGAAAAAAAAATAGACCGATTTACTTCAATGAAACCAGACGCTGAGGCCCTACTGCTATTTTAATTTTGCGTAATAATATCGCCATGATTTTCAAGGTTATAAAAGATCGAAAGTTCAAACGCTTTTTCGAATTTTTGTATTAATATTCAAGTCTGAATGATTATTGTCTGATTGGATATCGATTATTGAAACGCACATTTTTGGTATTCCTGTGTCCGCGTCGTGCCGGGGAGCGTTTACGTCACTTCAAGAACTCTGATTGGTCAATCTTCGACACAGAAAAATGAGGAAAACACTGGTTTCAATCGATATGAAATGGTATTTGCCTGGTTTAGTGACTAAACCACACTTCCTATGTGAGTGTTGTCATATCTTAAAACAGCTGTTTGGATGCTGATCCCCCTAGATAGCTGTCCACTGAATGATTGTAGCCCGCTTCAGATTCATCTCATGCCCTCCAATATGAATGTGGCAAGATTGAAAGTTATCAAAAAAGAAAATGTATGAAAGGCTTAGTATGACCAAACAAGGTACAGAATATGGTGAAAAGTATAGAAAAAGATGGTCATTGAGAGCGGTTAAGGACCACTAATGTGGAGATCAGCCTATATATTCATATTTTGACACTATATTATTTCAATATGTACTTGAAGGAGATGTGTTGATCTTAGCGGTGAAATAGGTGGGGTCCAATTCAGTATGACCCAGCTAATGTTAACTACTTCCGTGTGAATCCGTCCCAAGAATTGAAAGCTTTTCACAGTCCATCTCATACTGAGATAATCCAGCAGCATAGCTAAGTACTTCGCGTTTCTTCCCCGGGATGTTTTCACCCAGAAACCACGAGTCCAGGGAATCGAGGAACAATGTTCCATCGAAGTGGGACTTGACATATTGACTCCAAGTTTCCTGAGCAGCGGCAGTGAGCTCTAGGATAGTATTTCCGTCTGCCTGTAACCGTCCAATCGCATCGCAGATAATCCCACACTTCATCTCGATGCCGATAGGTCCACTCGTAAAAGACAATGGGCCCTGTGGACCTGCCGGGAAAAACAAATTGGGATATCCGTTGACGGTCATTCCAAGATGCGTCTTCACCCCGGATTTTCACTGGTCCTTTAGAGACTCGCCATCGACACTGTGCAGCACCACATGAGTGAGTCCGCCGGTGATCGTATCAAAACCCGTGGCTAGAGCAACGATATCAAGAAGGTAGAATTGCCCATCCGTGGCAGTGAAGCCACCAGCCTGGAAAGAATAGATGGAAGTAGATCGTAGACCCACTAGATCAACGTTAGACCGATTGAACTAGTCATAGTAATCGACTTCACAGGTAGGTCTTTTCGAGCCCATAGGGTGTAAAGGCTTGAGGGGCGCCACAGATCTCGTTTGCGTGGATTCTTAATGCGTGAACGGAACTTCTGAGCCCAGAAATCGTAAATCTCCCGGTTCGCAGCGCGGTTGATCATTACATTCTGGTAGTTCGCGTAGACGTATCTCATCCCGCCAGTATGCCATGGATGTTCGCGGAGGGTGTGTCGCTCGGCGGGATTCACTGTGTCAAATGTATTGGTTGATAAAGATTGATAGTCCACGCCGCTAGAATGCGTGCGGCGGTAGTTGGAGAATTCTTCACGGGTCATTTTTGGATCTTGATGCCAGCCTTCTGGATGCATGGGCAGGACTGTATTAGGGGTTCGTTGGAAAACAGTGAGATGATCTGCTCTCTTAGCCCAATCTTGCACGATCTGTACCCCGGAGGCTCCTGTGCTGATGACTGCCGCTCACTTACCCTTCAGCTCAACCCCTCCTCTGGCCACTTGTAGGAGTGAGTCACTGTCCCTTGGAACGACTCAAGCCCTAGGAAAGACGCGATGTGTGGTACTGTACCGGGTTCAGGGCAAGCAATCTAGAATCGACTGGTGAATTGACTGCCATTCACCGTAGTTGTGTACCATCTATCCTCCCGAAACTGGCCATGCGTGACCCGAACGTTGAATTGGATGTCTTGCTTCAATCTCATAGGGTTGGAGACTAAAGGCAAACATCTGCACATGACTTTTGTCATTGACATAACTCACGTGGTTAGCAACTTGAGCTGATTATTGTTATTGAATCACATGAGTAAATCAATTATTTAATATAGTAATACTGAGGTTTTGTGAGAAACCTTTTTATATATTTTTAAAATGTTCTTTGATATTTTTTTCCCTTTCAATTTTGTTTTTCAATATTTATTTTATAAGAGATTTTTGCAATAATTCATTTCAATCGATTTATTGAGATAGCAAAAACGGATTGACAGACGAAAATTGACTGCCAATTTGCAACTCTACAATCCCAGTACTTTGTCAAGATAGGCAAAGTACCGTCGCATTTCGGGCTACGAAGGAAACTTTTCAACCCATTTCCAGTTGTTCAAGATTTCCGGAATTGATAGAGCATAGAGTGAAGTTTCCGTGGCCTCTTGTGCGCCAGGGTATTGGTTCCAAAACCACGTCCCTCCCAGATCCGATGCTACTTCCAATACAAGATATCAATAACCCTATTTTCTGAGATGATATAGAAGAGTTACATTAGTAAACTCGGCCCCTACAACAATAACATCAAAGTCTGGTGGTCCATTTGCAATTATACTTATGCTTCTGAAGGAAGGGGGAGAATGGCGGCATGAATTAGTGGGGTTGAGATGCAATGAGATGAATTGTCTTTTTCTCTCAGTCCGTCCGTTTCTCTCCAGGGACTTTGCTTTATATTTGTTTCCTGACAGGTTGCAACTGTTGACAGTTGCTGGCGTTTCTGTACCACCTAAGTAGGAACTTCGTTGTCAACTGCAGACTAAAGGTGCGCACCACTCATGGACTACGATAAGATGTAATTATTTTATTAATTGCTTAAACTACGTTGCAATTTGGAAGACCTCAGTAATGCAGTTTCAGATTGAAATTATCGTAAGTTAATGTAGATATAATCAGCCGTATGCATGCGACATGCAGCTAGAACCCTAATGCAGATTACAAGTGTCCTTGTGTCTCTAATCTTCTACCTCATTTTGCCTCTAATTTCCCACCTTACTTTTCAGAGATTGGTTGGACTTTAGTCCAATATGGTCGGCAATATCGGCAAAATCGTGCTGCCATAACCCACCTCCTTGGCTGGCGTACTGAGAGCGCCAGCCTAACATTTTCTGTGCCAATGGCGTCATGCTCTCCACAACATCACGGGGAATCACAAGCGTATAGCATTCCTCCGGTGTCAGGAAGCTAGCCTGGATGCACAGGGAGATTCCGCGACGGAAGACGTCCTTAGTACGGTTCTCACCACCACCGTGGCAAAGGCTTCCTGTGAATAAAAACACATCGCCAGTCTTCATAATAGCGGGAACAGCATCCTCGTCTCGGCCCCAGTCCGTGTAGTCCTCCATCAGGTGGCTCTTGGGAATGCCACGAGTGGCGCCATTTTCAGCAGTAAAATCAGTCAATGCGGTGAAGAAACTGATCTGAACATTGCCCATTCGGGGACCCAGCTTTGTCAATACGGGAAACTGGCAGGTATCACGATGGAGAGCTTGAGCCTTGCTTTGAGGACCAATTTCGATGATCTGTGACGTGCATAACCAGTAGTCGCCATGTTCCTTCCGGAAGACTGCCTCGCAAATCTGGTGCAGCAGGTCGTCGTTAAGGACCTCATCGCGAAAGGTTTTGCTAATAGTAGGTAGGCTGCTGAATCGGCGAGTATTAGAACCGTGGAATTCGGTCAAAACTGCGTCATCCCCAAGATCTCGGTGCGTGCCAGGTTTGAATTTGGCTAGCTCAGGATCCGCATCTTTGTTTATTTTGGCCATTGCCTCTTGTGTGAAGAAACCCTCCACCACAATCCCGCCATCTTCGTGGAACATTTGGAGGATTTCCTCGACGGGTGCCTTTGCACTGATGCGTCGGAAAGGGGTTGGGCCAGTGACAGCCATTTTTGATAGAGAGGATAGAAAGATGAGAATCAATAAAGATGGTTGTTGTGATCACTTCTCTCAACGAGTAGAAGATCTCTCTTTATATTCGACTTCAGAAGGCATGCCTCGGTGACTTCGCTGAATCTACATATGTATGTCTTTGCGACTACTCTCGCTGAAGATTTTGAACGCAGCCTTGGATCACATTAACTGCATGTCTTGGTGATATGAACACACCACGTAAATTTCTTTTCTTGCTGCTGCATCCTGCCTGTATGATTCCAATCCGCTCACTACACGTAATCACTGTAACGAATGTGCGATCTTGGGTACCTATGCAGAAGAGTTCGATAACCGGTCATTTGTTTTTGTTTTTCAGTACCAACCTGAAACATTTCAATGTCACTGGGGGGTTGTGTAGTGCACCTGATATTTGCAAATTCACTCCATGGGTTTAGTAGAATCGCATCTAGTGCTGGGTGAGCTATGGTGTATTTATCCGAAAATTCCTCGACCAGCTAGAAACATCGTGACAGATGCTATGTGTTACAAAACCTCTGATTGTGTGGATCCCTCAATAAACCAGTATCATCATCATATACATGGAGAAAAAAATTAACAGAGCTAACGTTGTAGAATTGAATCATTATCTTTATTGTAGAAAATACTTTAACCTTTTAGGGAATTTAGTCAATGTTGAGGGATTTCCTTGATTTTTTGAGCGCTATGAATAGTTTTCAGATTAAATTAACTATCGGAGTCGATTGAAAGTGTATATATGCATTAAAGTATGTAAGGAATTGTATGGCACAATATTGAAAGCTTAATAATTCTTTAACAATGTACGTGAGTCAGTGCTTGCTGTATAATTCGTTACTTTAAGTTTGGTTCGGTTACCTTTTTCTGTCCTTTGTGGTTCAATTTGGTTAGCTCTCCCCTCTCATTCAGCTTCTCTTCTATCCGCATCCCCTGTAACCGTATAGCATTAGTTTGCATCTCCCGAAACTCTAATAAGTCCCCCTCTAGTAGGAGGGAAGACATGGGATACCGATGATTATACTCTTTTTGATATTCCCTGACATATCAAACAATCAATATTTCGAATCACACTTGAAATAATCATATCCATAAGCGCTCGAATGTATTCTAAAATATTTCTCTATTAAAGTGTAAAATGGTTCCTCAAAAAGTATTGAATCAATCAAATGATTAAAGTCCAGTAAGAAGTTTACCATACACTCATGAATCTTCTGGTCCCACTATCTCTCTGTCTGCTCTGGTTTCCGATCACTAAAGCCTTGGTACCTGGCAGCAGTGTTGATCCTGAATTTCTTTCCGAAGTAAATAAATACAATATTACCAACGAGTATAACAGCAGTTATGAGTCCAAATGTCACATAGACCCATGTCAATCCAACACTCTCAGACCAGGGCTGAAGAGCAAACATAAAAATCGTCAAGATAGCATTGCGGACAAAAGTCACGCCCATAATTGAGTCAGCGATAATCTGTGAATGATACGGTCAGTAATCGGTTGTGTGAGACTCAAAAAGGAGGAAGCTCACATCGGTGTATGCATCGGTCAGGTATGTAAGTGCAGCGCTGCTAGTTGGAAGAACTCCGAAGCAAGTGATTCCCAGCCCAAAGGCCGGTAAAAGCCAGTTGGCGCCATTATTCAAACTGATTCCGAAAATGAAGGTACCCGCTGGGACGAAAGGCGCGAAGGCGACAGAAACCCAGAGACGCATCTCGGGCTCAAAGACACCGCCATTTCTTTTCGCGAGGTAAAGACAAACATAGTCACTCATGAAGCCACCAATCAAGGCCCCTAGACTAGAACCAGTGAAAGAGGCAAGCCCCATTAATCCAATTTGTGTAGGATTGAACTCATATGGGGGAAGTGTCATGTATGAAGACAGGGAGGTGACTGGAAGAACAATGCAGGAAATCAAGATTCCATATTGAATTGCCATGAAAAAGACAGCCGGTATGGTAAAAATGACCAACAAAGGCTGGTAAGTGTGTTTGAAAAGTTGACTCAGTGGCATTGATGAATTCGACCACAATTTCAATTTTTGCCAATAAGACTTTTGGGGAATTGAATAATCAATGATTACCTCTCCGCTTTCAGGAGCGTCCTTCAGGGCCTCTGGGTCTTTGTTTGTAACTGCATCTTCCATTTCTGGCTGGCTGGATATTTGCTGTGTTCCGGTGGTCGGGCGGGTAAACATTGTCTCTTCGTAGCAGAAAAAAAACACAACAAAGCCCGCTCCAAGCAAGATAGCCAGCCACCACCAAACCCAACGCCAGCCTTGGTTCGAGATAATAATTCCACCAGGCAATGGTGATAGAGCAGCCCCGGTGATCATGAACCAGTAGTAGATAGAATTCATGAGTCCTCGTTCATGAAAGTAAAACATATCAGCCACTGTCATCTGAACCATCACTTCTGCTAGTGAACCGACCGCGCAAGTTAAAAGATTGATTAACATGAGGTCAGCCACAGTGTGCATCCTGGCGTACCATATACTCATTCCACATTGAACCGCAGTGCTGAAAATATAAAGTGGTCGTCGTCCGAACTTCAATGCAAGCGGAACGAGTAGGAATCCGCCGATACACAACGCTGCGTTGCTAGCAGCGAAAGCGTCAGTGAGTATGGCGTAGCTAAAACCAAGTTCGTCGTTCACTGGCGCCCAGGTCACGGTTGCGATATTAGTCCTGCTTGCTTTAGTACTTCCGCATTATATCTATGTGACAACAGATTACCAACAGTGTAAACACTATCAAGGTATAATAGGAAATCAATATAAAATTTAGATTCTTTCTCCATCGTGGCCAGTTCTAACAAGTTGACGGTATCAGCTACTTGAAATGCACAGGGAGGTTAAGCTTTGAACTCACAAGAGGGTCGTTTGGGTCGTTACTGGGCCTTGGTTGCAAGATGACATGTGGATTTCTCTTTAGCGACGTATTGCTTGACCCAGATTGGGGCGTCCTGGAAGATGGAATCTGTTTCGCTTCCATCTTGAAAAGTAGTTGGCCTTGGATTCAATGTTTACAAGTGGGAGGAAGACCATGATATGTAGACTTTTGGAGTCGCTAAAATGCATGCAAACCAGTGAGTGTTCAAAGGGAGGGTAAGATGATAACGCGAGACCCAGGAGTAGGACTTATGTAGAATACGATGATAATGCAACATCCAGAGGTCGAGAAGCCAAACAACGGTCCGATCGCAAATGATAAAAGCGATCGAAGCTGTACGTAATAACAGCATGAAACCTGAGAGGAGGTGCATGTAATGATCAAGTAAAATTTTCTGGTACTACTTTCACGTATAAAGACCCCCTGTAATTCTGTCTATTGAATTATGATTGTGTTTAGGTTCAGAACTATTTTTTCTTCTGAACCTATACACAATCATAAAGTAGAGATTGACTTTAGGGTTCGCATAGGATGTTCAAGGCGAGATTGTCTCACGGAACCGATCAGCAAATTAAGGTGTTGTCAAGAAGGGCTGAACAAGGGAAATCTGCAATGATCGACGAGACGAGGAGTGGATCCACTTTCGTACCTCCAGGATCTGGATTGAGTTTCGCGGAACCTCGCACGAAGGTACAAGAATTTGAGGGCAGATATGGTAGGGCGCTTTACAACAACACAAGCAATGGATGTAAACCGAGAGGGCGGCATGATTGAGATAGACGAAAGTGATGCAATATTCAGTTTCCTCAAGATTGGATGAGCCCACACCTAAGGTTTGGTTGATTACTTTATTTACTGCTCCGATCACGGATGGAATACACCGACGTATGAGATTTTACATATTGAAGTAGTCGCAAGAGGGGACCTGTCTTGCATCTGTAGCTTTGGATCACCATTGACTTATTTCAGGGACCTTGGGTCTTTCATTAGCCTACAGCAAAGAAATACAATTGATGCAGATAACCCTAACCCCAACATCTAAAAACATAGATAGGAACTTGATGTATGATAACCATGACGCGTTACTTTGCGCAAACTGAACATCAAGCTACATCAGATGCTGACCATCGCATACACACGGGCTGATACGAGCACGTATAACCCTAAACATACCGTGTACTAAGCAAACCGTGTAACTAGGTTAGCTCGGTCGGAGCTAAGCTCGACTCAGATCTAGCTTTTCTCGCTTCCGTTCAAAAGTGAATCAAAAATCTCTCTCAATGTCAATTTTGCGAAATCTGACAATCGCACACCGCTCAGCGTCCCCAGCTTTGGTTTCATAGGGCACAGCTCAGAGGGAGTTTAGCTGAGACTATACTGTATGTGTATGGAGAGATAATCTACAGTGATTGACGTGTTCAGCCAGTGAATTTTCTCGGGTTCCCATGACAGCCGTCGGTTGCTACACATACTCGTGGACCAGGCCGCGAAAACAAGATGAACTGTGATTGCGAAGTTCCGCTGTCTTATTAAAGACCCGGATGGATTGCAGATTTTTATAAACGTCTGGTGCACGCTATACCTCTAACCGACCTTTTGGAACTGATAATTATCTCAGAAGCTTGGAAGTCTGTTTTAAGTATAACTTTAGTAACTTTGAAATAGTTCATGAAAGCCCTCAAGCCTCAAGGCTTTAAACTGTTCGCCGCCCAATGCACCAATCTTCATTATAGTTTGCTGTAAGAGTCACTTCGCTCTGTCACAAAAGAAAAGAACAAGAAAAGTGATAATCAATTTAGGAAAGATGAGCTGTCACAATGCTCTAGGGGTCAAGCTATGCTGCCAGCGGAGTCACTCATTGCATTTGTTGCAAACATACCGCTACTTGCGAGTTGAAAAAGCTTCGAAACAAATAGCGGTTCGCTAGCGCAACAAAGTTCTTCAAAGCAGTCTTTCAACGATGGTGCGGCTGAAAGTCCGATACGAATTCATATTTTTGAGTTAGTTACACTACCAGGTCATTGTCTGGTGGCAAATAAAATATCATGGCTCTCCTTCTCTGAAGCCGAGGAAAGACAACTTTATGATTTCACATGCTGGCAATAGGGGCGGCAAGACTGAAAAACTGGCATAACTTCATTGAATTGGTATTTTGATATGGTATATCTAGCCCTTTGCGGCACCGGCCTTGATCAATAAGATATCTACACAGAGTCAGCAATGATTCAAGTTGAGAATTGAATCTAGTCTCCTTACCTCCGTCTTCGACAACGTAATCTTTGCCCTTGGTCATAACCTTTCCCTTGGCCTTAATCTCAGCTTCATCTCCATTGAATTCCTTGAGCACGTTGAAGTTATATACGATAGCTTGAATGAAGGTCTTTTCGAAGTCACCGTGAATGACACCTGCAGCTTGTGGTGCTTTGGTTCCATTTCTGATAGTCCATTGACGGACTTCATCTGTACCTGTAGTGAAGAAACTTCCGAGGTCCAAAACCTTTCTCATGGCGGTGATAATTTTAGGTAAAGCAGATTCAACACCCAGGGTCTTGAGTTCCTCCTTGGCTTCTTCTTCAGTCGCGAATTGAGTCAATCTCTCCTCAAGGCAGATGGAGATTGGCATGATTGGATCACCAGCTGCGTGCTCCTTGATCCATTCCATAACCTTTGCCAAATGCTTGTTCTTCTTTCTGATATAGTCCTTCTCGCTCAAGTTAATAAGGTAAACGACTGGCTTGGCTGTCAAGAGGAAGAGAGGGTTGATGCACTCGATCTGTAAGAAATGAAGTAAGTATATAGTTTCATGTATCAGTCAAGATAGTGATGGAGTATCGAAATATCAGAACGGGGTTTTTCTCTCAGAATACACTCTGCATTTAATGCGAGGTACTCAACGAGCTGGGATTATTCAGGCCTCATGGCCCTTTGTCATCATTTAAAGATTTATGAAAGTATAGAAAGAATTGAGCACATACCTCTTTCGGTGACCAGTTACCCTTTCGGACATCTTTTCCATCGTTGAGCATAGCCAAAACCTTTTCGATAGTGGCTTCCTCCTCTCTAAGCTTCTTCATCTCGAGTGATTGACCACCCCTTCTGGTCAATTTCTTCTGAGCTTCGAGTGCCTTCTCAACAAACTCGATATCCTTGATACGGAGCTCATCACTGATGATAGTCAGATCGCGGACAGGATCAACATCTCCCTCAATGTGAATAATCTCCGCATCATCAAAACAACGGACAACTTGAAAGATGGCATCGACAGCACGGATATGCGACAAAAATGCATTTCCAAGACCTTCACCCTTAGATGCACCGCGAGTCAAACCGGCGATATCGTAGATTGTAAGATGTGCTGGCACTCTGGACTTAGGGTTGTACTTTTCGCAAAGCCAGTCGTATCTGTCATCAGGAACAATAACTCGAGATTCTTCAGGATCGATGGTTGCGAAAGGAAAGTTCTTGACGTTGTTAACGTTGATACGTATGATCGACTCGGGGCTCTGAAACTTACTGCGGGGTTACCAAGGGAGCACTTGGTAATAGCTTGAAAGAGTGTTGACTTGCCGACATTTGCAAGACCGACCTATTTTTAAAAATCAGTTCATGTCTTAGACAACTAGAATGAAGAGAGAAATACAATTCCACTCTTCAAGTTGTTACCAGGCCTACCCAGTAACGCCTTCTTCTCTTCGACGACTTTCTTTGGAGGCATTCTGCTCTTCTTTTTTGCGTAAGACCTCTTTTGATTTATGAATAGAACCGTACAATTAAGTAGGCTCTTGTTGTATTTGTTTACAAAAGCAGAACTTGCTGCTGTGGTGAACAAAGTGGGTTGATAAGAAAGAGAGATACGTTGGAGAGGTAAGAGAGACGTCGTGATGGTGGGATGAATGCAGCCAGCCTTGTGCGGACCGCGAAAATGGAAAATTGTACGGAGGTGAAGGGACGAATTGAATTACTCGAAAAATATTTCGTTTGAAGTTTCTTGTGTGTGCGCGCGCTGGAAAATTACCCAATAAATGAGGGGTGAAGATTATTGGGATCATGTGATCACACTGCTCGATCGGGATCAAATTTCACCGACAAAAACGGGGCTATCTAAGTAAGCAGAACTCTTTATTGGCTTTTGACAGCAAAAGTGGAGTCCCTCCAATCGTTACGCGAACGGATGGCTAGACCTATGATGATATACCTTGTAGATACAAGTGTCACCCCGACAGTCAGGTTAACCTTCGACTTAATTTCGATAATGAATGCCATAATTTGGACCTGAATCTGAGTCTGATTCATTTTCAAGACAAGGAAGCAAATAGGGGATCCAGAATAAAGTACATACATTCATTGTTGTACAAAGCCAAGGCAATTCATCTTTTGAATATACCATCTCTTGGGTCTTGACTTCTCCAACGATCAAGTTTCTTAATTCTATTCATCTTTCTCAACCTGGACAACTATGTCTTCTTCATCTAGCAAGAAGAGCTCTAGAATTTCTTCTTCGAGTCACAGATCGACACTTTCCCTTCACAAGACTGAAATAGTCATTAATGTTTACGATCTCCTTCCTGTAAGTATTCATGTAATGAGTTCCTGGTTTGACAGTTGCTGACACGGATTTCGCGATTAGGCAGGCAAACTTTCTTCAATCCTCTGGAGTTTTGGTACGTCCTTACTTCATAGTGGAATTGTTATAAATGGCAGAGAATACGCGTTTGGAGGACACGATAAAAAGGGAAACACGGGGGTGTATTGGCAAACCCCAAGAGTAGAACCACCTGGAGGAACTTTCAGATGCGAGATTGTCCAAGGATTCACATTCTCTCCTCAAGCTGAAATCGATGCCGTCATCAAGGAGGCTTCAGCTATCTTCCAAGGAACCTCGTATAATCTCCTCACAAGAAATTGCAACCACTTCACAGCATATATGTGCGAGAGACTTACTGGTCAGTCTGGGCCACCATGGTTGAATAGAGCTGCCAGTATCGGAGTCGCATTACCGTGCATGGTTCCCAAACAATGGATCACACCTCCAGACTACGAGACTGCAGATGGGGAGCTTGTTGATGAATACCATGATGAGCAGGCTCTGTTGAGCAGCGCAAGACATAGCATGGACGATGGGCGACCAGATTTAGGCGATGATGAGACAGAATGGAGTTGTGATGAGGACTTTCAGGCCAGAAAAGGAAAAGGAAAGGATGTCAGAGACACATCGGGCAGAGTAGTTCCCCTTTCAGAGAGGGCACCTACGGCCAGGAGATAAATTGCATTTGCGGTGGAAGGATATATGGGTACAGGCTTTCTCAGGCGTTTTCGGCAAAGGATAAGGAAGGATAGGAAGGACCGGCGCCAAGGGTTCGTTTTATGATACCATTTTATGATGCCATGATTCTTCTATTGTACAGATTTACACATCATATTGCAATTATGCACAGAGCGGTCTTTTTACCACCATAATTTCCCATTTAACCCAGTCTTCTTGGCTTCTTACTTCTCGTACCACCAAACTTCAATCTTGTAGCATCCGTAACTTTGACGACCTTTCCTCTCAACCATCTACCTTCTGTACCCAAAAGAGCCTTAGTAACAGCCTCTCTTCCCGCACCAAATCCTCTTAGAACTAACTCCAACTTGTGGATATCACGACCAATAGCCCTCTCATGAATCTGCGTCATCACCAATGAAGCCAATTGGAAAGCCGAATCATAGTGTTTCCTCCCCGAATGTCTGAATCCAATATTTCCACACGATAATGAAATAATCGGTTCCCGATTTGGTCTTGTGAGTGTAATGTGGGTATTATGTCTTGTAGCATAAACGTGAAAGTGATGCGGCTCTTCCTCGACGATTCGTTCCCCAATCAAATTTCCATCCGAAGGCATTGTCGTATCCAGTAAGCCCGGTCGCTTTCGTTCTTGCTTGTTTAGCATCATCATGTCTTTGAAAACGCTTGTTATGCCTAAGTTTCCTCCTGCTGCTGCCGATCTGGTGGCCTTTGGATTCAGCGAAGAGGATCTAGCAGCTTTAGCTCTAGCTAGGAGACCGGCAGTTCCACCGGTCTTCAGAGTTGAGTGATTGTGAGGTACATAGTCGGGAAGAGGCTTGTTGTCGCCCTCAGCTTTCTGATTTGGTGTATTTGAAAAATGTCGCAAACATCGGAGGGGTAATGTTTGAGTGATATTCGCAGATTCGGAAATGGAGGCGAAAGGCGATTGAGCCAGAACTCGCCGTGAAAGATTTCGACTCATGATTGAATGAATATCGAAATCCAGGGATTCAATATTGGAGTATTGGTGGCTTTGATATCAAAATCTAGTCGAAAGTTGAGTTCGGACTGGGTTGTTCCGCTTCGCTCACTAACCCTTGCAGCCTTGAAATTTTGTCGATCGGAGAAAATGTTCAAATCGCCGCCATTCAATGATAACCTTGCGAAACCAAATTTATTTCAAGTCTTATATCTTTTGAAGTAGCCTTTTAATAATTTATACTGTCCTTCTCAGTCAATATGAACGGGCTACGAACAGCGGCGACGAGGACGCCCACAAGTAAACAGGTTTCTCTGTCTTCAATTACGAGGCCTTCATCCAATGGCTCCACCCTTCGTCGCCAGATCGTTCAACAAAGTCGAAATTTACAATTTTCTACAGCAGGATCTTCGAGATCTGCGACTCTTTCATATCCTGCGCCTTTGCGATCACGGTTCCTTCCAGAAGAAATTAGATCTGTAGCATGTCCAGCATCCTCGCGGCATTTCCATGAAAGCTCGAGACTAGGCAAAGAAAAGAAGACAAAACCAGTAGATCCAGCAGATCCAGCAGCAAAGGAAGAAGCTACAGAAGAAGAGCCTAGCAAAAAGGAATCTGCTAAAGACTCAGAATCTACTTCCGGAGAGGATAAGGCCAAGGAAGAAGGAGAGGGCAGTGAAGGCAAAAAAGAAGGATCCAAAGAGGCCCCTCCACCCCACCACCCCACGGAGACAAAACTCCATGGCAAGTCTTCACCGAAACCCTGCAAACCGAATTCAAGGCATCAAAAGAATGGAATGAATCCACCAAGCAATTGGCCGAAGGTGCCCATCAATTTACAGAGAATGAAAATGTCAAGCGTGCCAGACAAGCTTTCGAAAGTACCACTGGAGCCGTAACCTCGACAACAGGCAAAGTTTTAAAGACTACCGCAGGCGCCGTTGGAAAGGGAGCTGCTTGGACTTGGGAAACTCCAGTTGTGAAGGGTGTGAGAACTACCGTTAATGCTACAGCCAATGTACTTGACAAGGCGACACAACCAATCCGACAAACGGAGGCATATAAGAATGTTAAGAATGTAATTGATGATGGAAGTAGTTCAAGGTATGGAGGATGGGTTGAGAAAGAAGAGAGGCGGAAAGCAAGAGAGTTGCGGGAATTGCAAGAAGGTGCCACCGGCAAAACCAAGGAGGTCCCAATAGAAGATCCAAAGTAAGTGATATTTTCACCAAATCAACCTTCACATCTAACAATTGCAGCGCCGGAACAAATGTCACCCTACACAAGGATTCAGCATACAAAGAGGCTTGGAGAGATTTCCGTGACTCAAATCGTGTCATGCAATCTTTATTCTCCATGAAAACCGTCTATAACGAATCCGAAAATCCCTTGATCTCAACTGCCCGCAGCATATCTGATCGAGTTGCCGGTTTCTTCGCCGAAAACGAAACCGCCCAAGTAATTAAGAAATTCCGCGAAATGGACCCCTCTTTCCAAATGGAACCTTTCCTCCGCGAAATGCGCGAATACATTCTCCCAGAAGTTCTCGATGCCTATGTAAAAGGCGATACTGAAACTCTCAAACTCTGGCTGTCTGCAGCCCAATTCTCCGTCTACGATGCTCTTTCAAAACAATACACAACTGCTGGTCTCAAATCTGATGGTCGCATTCTCGATATCCGACATGTTGAAGTCCTGTCGGCGAGAATGTTGGATAATGATATTCCGGTCTTCATCATCACTTGCAGAACCCAAGAAGTTCACGTATATAGAAACGCAAAAACTAATCAATTAGCTGCCGGTATGGAAGATAAGGTACAATTAGTCACATATGCGATTGGTGTTACAAGAGTGGCGGAAGATGTTAATAATCCAGAGACGAGAGGTTGGAGACTCATTGAGTTGCAGAAGAGCGGAAGAGATTACATATGAGAATCTTCTCTGCATCTCTTTCTTCACTTTCTGTCTCGGTGTCAGGCTCACAAAAGCTTACATCCTCCCTCGTCTATTTCATCACCATCTTGTAGCATAGCGCTCCCAGTCTTCCTCCATCATAAAAGCAACTCATCCCTTCATACTTATCTGGAATCTTATTCCAACCCATCGATCATATAAATTCACAACTCCTCCTCTTGTACATCATCTCACGCTACATCACATTACATCACATTACAATACACAACCAAAAACTACACCCCAGATCAAAAGGAGTTCCAGGAAGCGAGGGACTCAAATTTCACTAATTGACAAGTTTCTTGTCAAAACGTGTGTATTAATGAAACCAAAAAACTTATCCATTTGTTCGTCTCGTCTGAACCAAGCTTCGACGATGCCTTTTACGCCACTCTTACGATTTTCAATGGATAGTGAAGGAAGATAGGAGGAGAAAGAAAAAGGGAGAGAGGGGGGAAGTTGATAGAAGAATATTTCAAAAGAAAAGACCTTCATACACTGAGGGAGGAAGGAAATTTGTTCATATATTGTACAATTAACGATCGAATCGAATGTATATCGGAATGAATTGAATGGCAGATTAAAAACTAGAGATTTTCATTATCATACACTGTTCTTTGTGTTTTTTCCCTCGACAGCTTGTAGTGTGAAGTCGTCAAACACCTGATACTGATTAGTTTTTCTAATATGTAAAACTACAGTGTGATAAACAAGATATAAAACAGCTTTTAAACATGCTCGAAAGCCAGTACTGATACATTAATCAATATATAAGTAAAAACAGGCAATTGCACAACCCAACCCCTTCAAAATAACCTTATTATCCTCATCCCACATAATTTCCACCTAAAAATCATCAGCAAATCTTACACCTCCTTTTCCCTTTCCCTTCCCCTTTCCTCGTGCATCACCGTTTCCATTTCTATCTCTATCTCCATCTCCCGCTTCACTTCCCCTCTGCACTCCACCCCCTTCCTTCTCACTCAAACTCAAACTCACACTTCCCTCCCTTTCCCTCCCACCACCCTCAAAACTCCCCGTTCCATCCATTCCCATTCTCAAATTTGCACCTGCACTTCCCAGACCACTTTTGGTCCCGCTTCCACTCCCTCCCACCCCTCATCCACCCCCCACTCTCCCTTCCAAGCAGACTCCACAGCTCGACTCCTAATCCTCCACTGTCTCTTCTTCCCCCTCATCAACCCCCCTCCCATATACATTCTCCTTCCTCCACTCACAAAATTCTCTCTCTGTCCCTGCCCCTGCATATTCACATCCACATCCCCGTCTCCATTCAAACCCAACCTCATATTCCTCCCCAACGAAACTGGCGGTCCCCTCTCCCTCTCCGGCATAACCGGAACTCCAAACCCTAATCCCCCAATCCCGGTCCTATCAATCCGCCCACCATTGCCATCGGGGTCGGTATTCTTTCTCTCTTCTTCAAACCTTCTCTCCCCTCATAATCCATCCCCTCTCTCGCCGGCGCACTGACTCTTCTTTTTTCCTGCGCGAAATTCTTCAAGATACCTTTTCTTTCGCCCCGTCTGGGGGTTCCGATTGCAACTCCATCTCTGTTCACCGACGGATATCTAATCAGACTGTTCGTGCCATTATCACTTTCTCCGTCTCCCTCCCTCACAATGATAATTGTATCCTGCGAGCCAGTACCCGCACTGTCTAATTCAAGACTAACACTATTGCCTCTCGGTTCACTTTTCGAGTGAATTCTTCGGTCTCTTTGGGGATAGTGAGCATCTGCTGCTAATCGTGCTGCGGTAGGAATTGTTATATCATGTGTCGTCTCATCCTGAACACTATCTGGTAGATCCGTGTACGATTCCACAATTCCACCTGTAAAGCCATCAAATCCGGTCGTTTCCGACTTGTTAGTATCTACATTATTAGTATTCATCCCTCTCTGAGCAAAATCCACTATAGCAGTACCAGAACCACTAATCTCTATCTCACATACCATCTAATTAGCTGGAGCTCAAGATACGACGATTGCAGAAAAACAGAGAAAACAGATATCAAAGGAAGAACAACATACCATCTTCATCACCAGCAGCAATAACAGTACCCACACCATGTTTCTTCAAAAAAAATTCTGCCTTTCGTCTGATACTACCTTCCTTCTTTCTCAACGACTCTGCTTTCCGCACTTCCTTGTCTCTTCTTCTCTGTTCCTTGGCTGCCTCTTTGGTTTGTACTTTGACTGCTGTTGCTGACTGGACGGAAGAGGGTTCGATAATGGGAGCTGGGGATGCGGCATTAATTGGCTCGCTGATAGTATGGGAGGAAGAACCTAATTTTCTTCTTTCTTTTGCTAATTGTTTTTTCTGTGCTTTGATAATGTCTTTGGGGGTAGAGAAACTAGGACCGGTATGGGTGGGCGAGTCTTTCGAAACAAGTAATGGAGTGAGCTCAGAGGCAGCGGTGAGATTTCCAGGACTTTCTGCGGCGGAAGGTTTACGTTGTCTTTCCTCAACTGGTTCATTCGTTATATGCTTTGGAATTTGAATAAACATTGCACCTCTGGGTAATCCTTTGGGCAGTCTCTTAGGCAATCTTTTGTCCAATTTCTCCACCTTATCTTGTACAGTTCCTTCGATCTTACCACTATCTGACTTACCATTACCTGCCTTGCATCCACTATCGACCTTCTCATGCTTCAAATCAACACCCGTTAGAACTGACTGAGAAGAGAGCATCGAGTGTGTAGAAGAAGGAGTTCGACAAGGCTGTTCCTCTCCCCACAGATTCGGGTGATCAAGCACATTCTTTGCATGAATCGGAACTGGCAAATTGCCAGTAGAAAAGAGAGATCTTGGCTGGCTCAAGATTGGTGGGCGAGGTGGACTCTCGGGTGGATGGGCTTTACATGTTTGTTCAATTAATTGGGTGGTAAAATTTTTGTGTTGAGGACTGGAAGGACGAGAGGTTGTAATATGAGGATTAGTATTAGTAGGACGAGCAGTGGCAATGGCTGGCTGAGGGGTGGTAGCAGATCTATGAACGGGAGTTGGTCGAGGAATTCCCCCAAGAGACTGTTGCTTGATTTGAACTTCCGAATTGCTTGTGGGGAACTTGGGTTTACTGACATTAGTAATTTTGAGTTTCGAAGAATCTATCTTTGAGAGTAGGCTCGCATGATTGAGTTCGTCAGCTTTGCGTTTCGATTCCTGAGCATGTTAGATAAAGCCACCAAAAAATCGTGCCTCTTCGTTATGCATTACATAAGTATTGTCATTAGATGTGGAAAGATTCACAAGGGTACAATATCCATACTACCACACTGTGGTTGGTTTCAAGGTTCATCACGATGATATGTAGTAGCATTATATATATAATAGATAAATGTTTTAGTGCAGATTCCAACGCCACCTAAGCAAACTTGCTATTTTCCCATGACCTCCTGTATGCGATTCTATATATTCAAAACTTTTGAGTTTTTAGCTCGATCCATCACTTACATCTTTTGATTTACCGGTGGAGCTTGTGCCGTTATCAGCCCCTTTTCCATCATCCTTTGAGTGGTTGTGATCTTTGACCGCTTTTACTGCTTTCGCGAGGGTAACCGTCTTGTCCTCGCTAGTGAGGTCATTCACGAGAGTTGCATCCGTTTTTGCGGGACTCTTTGATCTGGACTTGGACCTTGATCTCCTGTCAGAAGGTTTGACGAAGATTTGCTTCGCCCATAGGTCTGCATATCGCCCCTTAGAGTGAAACAGCTTATCATGAGATCCTTGTTCGACTATCTGACCATCCATGACAACAACAATATGGTCGGCATTCATCACAGTTGACAATCGATGACTAGATAAAAGTTAGTACGAATTAAGTATGCTTTACATATAGAGCGAAACTCACGCAACAATAAACGTTGTTCGACCCTTGCACAATGCGTTGAATCCTTCCTGAATTTTTTGTTCCGTCTCTGTGTCAACGGCACTGGTAGCTTCATCGAGTAGTATGATTTTTGGTTGTTTTAAAATGGCACGAGCAATCGCAACACGTTGTTTCTCTCCACCAGAGAGTTTCACGCCGCGATCACCAACTTTGGAATTGTAGCCATCCGCAAATTTCATAATCTTGTCATGAACAGCGGCAGCTTTACAGGCCTCATATACTTCCTCGTCTGTTGCGTCCAAACGAGCGTATCGAATGTTATTCATGACGGTATCATTAAAAAGAGTAGGATCCTGTGGAACAACGCCAACATGGCTGCGCAGACTATGATTCTATGTCAACAAGGGTACTGAGTACTTGAATGATCTTCTTACCTGTGCATTGTGATGTCTCGAATGTCTTGACCATCAATCTTGATACTTCCTGTTTTAACGTCGTAGAAACGATCCATCAATTTTAACATTGTTGATTTACCTCCGCCAGTCTCACCAACAAATGCAATCGTCTTTCCACCAGGAGCAAAGAAACTAACATTCTTCAAGATCGGCTTTCGCTCATCATAGGAAAAACAGACGTCGTTGAACTCAATCTCGCATTTGGTGATCTCTAGGTCTTTGGCATTCGGAGCTTCTTTGATTGAGGGCTCTGTCTTCAGTAGTTCAAGAAGGCGTTCGGCATCTATCAAAGAACTAGAGATAGTTCTATACGCGGAAGCAAGGAATGATAGTGGTTCTGAGTTAGGGTTAGTATCCATGCACATACTGAGGACCTCGACAAAGCCATACCTTGTATTTGACCCCAGAACATAAGCAAGGTAGTGAACTTTCCAACAGTCTGACCTTCATAAACTACCGAATAAGCACCAAGACAGAGTACTCCTGTCAGTCCAAAGCACATAATCAGGCTCTTTGCCATAGAGGCAATGTACCAGAACCATTCATAGGCCCATTTGGAATCAATGTGTTCTTTGATGACTACAACAAGTTAGTCAATTAATCAATCAATCCTGAAAGTTGTAGACGCGGGTAAATTTACCTCCGGAGTAGCGTTCATTCTCGTAGGGTACCATATTGAAAAGCTAGTGCTTCGTTAGCGTTTGTATAAAACGATTGCGATATGAATACTGACGTTGGCAGTCGTCCAACCATCCAGTGACTCTTGCCCCGTTGTCCATTCTTTTCTGGCAAATGTTATGTAGTCCCGGCGTTGATTTGTTCTCATGGAGATCAGTTTTACAGTAGCGTACATGTAAGATACAAATGTGACAACCAATACAAGGAACATATAAGGTCCAAAGGCACCGAAATAGATGAACGCGATGACTAAATCGATGATCATCGGGACTACCTGAAAGCAGACCATCTCCATCAAATCTGCGACCGATCTACCTCCATGCACTACTTGAAAAAGATCCGAGGATGATTTGCTATCATGGAAATCGGAAGACAGGTTCATGATATGGCTATGTGCGGCTAAACTGAGTGTTTTGTATGCGTACTGTTCCAAGGGATTCCAGAGCCATGTTCTTATTACTGTAAGGCACGAACCACCGTTTATGTACCTCAGGAGCGAGTATAGAAGAACAGGTGTCCAAATATTATGGCTATGATCTAGATAGATAGGTTAGAGAAAGTCCTACAAGCTGGGTTTCCAATAGTTCAGACTGCAGTTCGATAATGGCAGGGTACTGATTCGGGACAATTGCAATATCCGAATTGTTGAATATATTAAATTCATTCAAAAATCGAAAGCTCAAATCTAGTCTGCTAGTCTGGACCATTGGAAGCTCCGATTATGGCCACTGGAGAATTACTTACCGCCCCCAGTATAATTGATTAGGCTTTGAACCATTATACCAAATTGAATTGGAACAAGAAGATTCAGGGCATTGCTTGCCAATAAAGTGATTGCAACAAGAACAGCTCTGAACTGGAGCATTTTGTGATGTACTGGCCAAACAAAGGGAATGAACATCTAGAAATTGGTGATTAGTTTATATGTTCGGACCACAGTTGAATGCCGGGCTCTCACAGAAAATCCTTTGAGGTAAGTCCACCAGTTGCCGTCTTCCTTAAGTCTTTTTGCGATAGCTTCTTTTGATTTGCGCTGATCTTTCAGATAAGAGTCTTCCGAAGCCACACTCGCCGTATCCGACTCATCTCCTGCATCTTCTTCATCTTGAGTTGTAGGCTCGCCCGTTGTGCCATATCCATTACCGTTTAGGGTGGAGCTTTCGGAGCTAGATGGATCCGATGGCTTTTTTAATAGTGATTGACGTTCTGTATCAATGGTTTCGGGAGCTTTATCTGAGTCGCGAATATATAAGTAGATAATAGGTAAGGCGATGAGATTGAAGATTCTTATAGCTTGTATAGAGATGAGTATATAATCGAAAGCCGAGTTGGGCGGCGGAGAAAACACATTTGGTAAAATTATTAGGCAAAGTTCCACACAAAGACCTATGAACCAAGTTCCATAGTATGGGTACCACGTGGGAGATTTCGTGTCTCCGAGTGCAATTATTTGAACCAGAAAGACCAAAGTCGATGAGATGAGGTAAACCTAGATTGTCAGTCAAGCCAAAATGAATATGATCAAGATAATGACATGGAAATCAGAAGAAAGTACAACCACACGATGTACGAAATGAATCGTACGCTGAAGTCAAATGTCTCCTGAATGCCTGTATACTTCAGAGCACTTTTCAATCTTCAGTGTGAATTAAACATTAGTTTGTCATACAGACTCTGCTGATCACCAATATTCCAATTGATGCTTGACAATCAATTACTTCTTCAGACATGATCTGAGTATGCTAATTTTAAGAGTGTGGCTTCCCGCATCACAGGTTGATGCTCCCTGATGAAAAAAAGATTTCACTTACAACTCGGTCTTGTCCTGGATTCCAGTTTTCCACTGACGACTTGATAATTGCGACAATGATTTCGACAGCCTATCATCACAAAAATATTAGAAGGACAAAATTATGCGGCATAGTGTAATTGACGTACATATGTTCCAGTCAGACTTCCAATGAAGCACAGTATCAACCCACGACGAACATACTGATCCTGGACTTGAGATTTCTCTGCTTGCATATAACATACAGTGATACCAAGGGCGATGAAGAAATAGAAAAAGACGAGAGTCGGATAAGTATATCGTAGGATCTTCAGGGCAAACCAAAGCTGTGAGAAGATTAGTAGAGTCTCATTAATATTGTTCGAAGTATGCTTTTCGCTGTATTTGAAGAGCCTCATTACTCCAAGAATGCTTGAACATCTGGATTTAAGCAGCCTTCTTCAATGTCGCGGGGTGCAATCAACTATTGGACTTACATTTGGTGAAGCAACAGGAGTAAACATTGTCTCCATGATGCTTGATGGATCTGAATCCATCAAGTAACGTGAAGCACGAACCGAAATCTATCGAGATAATGCCGAATCAGTTGCTGAATATGTGGGTTTGCATGCGGGCGAGAACAGAAAATGTACCAATTGCGACTTTATACAAAGAGAGATTCTAAGATAAGTTGGGCATATTCAAAAAGTGATGAGTGAAATGTGTTTGTGGAAGGAACGATGTGGTTCTGCTAGATATATACGATAAGATGTAACGCGCGCGAGGCTCTCCTCCTCTGTGAGTATTCTGAGAACCCAGGAAGGAATTAACCTTTCTTCGATCCAACCATGCTTGAATCATTGAAACTGTAAATATTGAAACAAGCAATGATGCGTCGATTATCAAACATAAAAGTACTTTCATTGAACGCTGTTGAAGAAAGGAGTGTTTTGTGGTGTCTTAAGTTATTGTATGGTTCATGTAGGTAGTTTACCACCATTTTCTCAACATAATTAACCTTGACATCCATTGACCGAATCCCCTGTCATCGCGGCGTATTTATAAACACCTGGTAGTTGTCTTACGACTCCAGATATTGATTCTGTATCATATTGTTTGGTGTGGAATATGAGTAAAAGACTTCTTACTCACTTATTGCTTATAATCCACTCATTTGCGAAAACTTGGGGCTCGAAATACCAATAGCAGAGGAAGTTTTGAGTCAAGCGCTGGGAAAGGAGGCGAATATGTAGATATAAATATTTCTTACTCACCTGTATTAGTAAGCGTCAATTGGTGCTTACTCCTTGGGTAGATACAACTAACACTCCAAGTATTCCTGTCAGCTGGATTAAATCAAGAGGGGATCGCTCGGGAGTGTAAATTGCATGCCTTCCTTGAGGCTCGTGTATAATCCGTAGGGGGTTTATATGTCGACACTCGGCCTCCAAGCCTTCCCACGCGATTCGGTGAGCTGTATGGGGTTGTACGTACTGTGTATCTATTTGGCAGTTGCGTCTTGGTCAACACCCACGTTATATAATACAATTGGACAATACGAGAAAGAATATAGACCAGATGTGAGGTTGCGGTGCATATGAAGTATTGATTCACGAGCAAACGCACGTTCGAAGAAAGATTTCCATTCAACGATAAGGGCGAAACCAATCTACTTCGGGTCTGGGATATTGAACTTGTCGGATCCTAGACCATTCCCTTGGAAGGATGTTCTCCACGCCACGCCTATGTACTCCGGTTATGGCATTCATGGGGTCTTATGAAAGCGGTAACAGCGGTAAATGAATATGAATAGCTTGTAAATCATACTCTCTCCATTTGTCGTCTGCTCGCCGACAATATGTGTTTCTGTACATGATGTACGAACACTTCTCTTTCCTTGTTGTGCCTAGCGCTGAGTAAAACATCTGAGCATATCCACCATCGAACGTGCATATCGAACATTATAGAATACAACCTATGCAAGCCTACGCCTTGGATTGTGCGTCAATACTCATGCATTTGGTCATTGTACCTGTTGATAGGACATAGATCGAAGGTGCCAATGCACCGATTTCTACTCAAAGCAAGTCTCAAGGCACGAATATGATGATGGCTCGGATGGGGCACGCATTGAGGTTATGTGATGGATGGATATGGGTATGGGTATGGGCGATGCATATTGGGTAATGTATTCGTATATAAAGATTGGTGAGGGAGTACCTCGAGAGTAGGAAGGGGGCAATATCTAGTATCTAGGTAGGTAGTCATCATTGAGGTCTGGACTTAAAAAAGGTACTCGACCATTCGACGGTACCCAGCACTTTGAACATGATGATATACCCCAGTCCATAATCATATATTGACTCCTTTCCCTTTCCCTTTCTCATTTCCATTTTCATCTACTATTGTACGAGATGATTTCAAAATTTCCAAGGGTTTGGAGTTGGTGTACGGTACTTCCATACATACAGCATGTATGTAACCTTATATATCCTTGCACTTCAGCGGCATGCCCGCAATTAACCAATAGCCGACACGTTTACCGTTGAGTTCAACCACCGTCTTTTATTATCACATCATCAATCACTTCATTTCACTCCACAAAAGCCTTGAGCGTCAAACTTCAATTCATCCACCACTCCAACTCGCTTTCGTGGCTTTCGTCCAACAAGGAACCGGACTGATATCATCTCTGAATCCAATCAATTGATCCCTTTCGCAGAAGCACATTCGACGAATGGCTATGATCCATCGACTGGAGCACGCGAATCATTCCTCAACCTGTTGAGTTTACATTTGTAGTGTACAAACAATTTCGACTCTCCGATGACGACTATGCGATGATAATTATACAAAAATGCGGTGAAAAACGAGGGAAGCGAGGAGAAAGAGTCAACGTCGTCATGATACCTAGAATCTTCACACCACTTCACGCAACTGCAGCCGTCGAACATTTGGAGCATACTAGAATTCTTCAGGGGCGAGTAATATCTCCCAATGATTGGTACCAATATCTATAACCTTGCATACAACCTGCGGAGGCACACAGCCGAATGACTCGTTGGTGTTGTGGTTGCACATGCTGCTGCTTTCTCATGAGCAATGCTATATCCACTGCCTTTGCAGGTCTCTTATCTTGATGATCTTCATTGAGCCCCCCCTCCGGCGCCCCAATCAATTCAACCACGACTCAAAGTACAATATGGGTTGAATATTGCTGCTATATTAGTGGTACATATCCTCGGCAGTACTTCATAGGTGAACTCAAGTGGTCTTGCAATACGCGAAGTGACAATACTTACAATTTCGTACATTTTCGTTCTCGGTGAATGGTGTATTCCTCACAAGAACCAGCTCATTTAACCAGCCAGCAGATCAGAAGCCAGGCCATTGGGATAGCCACCAAGGCCCGCTTCGTGCATACGACCCGCTCGTTACTATTTTGATTTCTTGTATTCAGAAAATAATCTCTGGCTAGGCAATTTGGTATCCTACAGATACTACTACATAACTTCAGCTGATTGCTCGGCTTCCTGACCTGTGAAGTGCCTTTTGTCGCTGCATGTCATCGAAAAGATCTAAGATCTGCACTAATTATCAATGATTTGTGGTACAAAATAGATATCCCACACCCCACCCGGCAGTTTATACGATTGGCTCAGTCCTCGACAATGAGCAGTTTGTTTTCGAGTAGACTTTCTCAATAATTGCCTTCACCTTAATGCAATGCTGTTAGGCATCTGCGGGGAAGATGGCGTTTTTATCCCAGCAGTATCTGCATATTTATTCAGAAATGGCACTTGATCACATGAATATTTGCAAGCATTAAGCAAAAAACGCTGGATTGAATGGTGGATGAAGGATCACATCTCCGCCATTGGATGATTGATGCTTCTGAAGCCTAAACTACAGTACCTTTCCCGATGATAGATCCCGAAGTCGCTTTCTCCTAGACAAATTTGAAAGAAGTCTCCTCGAGCCATACTATTACCAGAAATCAATTTGAACATCCCAACCATCCATCAAAGTCGACCGGTACAAATCCAGTCTACACAGTTACCTCGCTATTCCATCAATCAGAGTCCTTCAGTGCTTCAATTGCCTCCACTGCCACCAAACTCAAAATTGTATCCAAAAGGATACTTTGTCTCTTCCTGGGTGAAGTTCCATTCGGAATTCTGTGAAAGATTGCCAAAAAACTGGCCAGTCGAGGTATTTTGATTTGCTCCGAATTCTGTGACATGTGGTCGAGAGTTTGGAACAAACAATTGATTGTTATGACCGCGCGATTGTCCTTGAGGGTTAGTCATATTCAAATTGAACAGCTGGTCTGTGATCTGACTCAAATTTGCAGGCGAGGATGGCCGACTGCGAGAGATGGTGTTAGGAGGGGCATTGAAACCAATACTTGTGCTTGGCATTGCAAACGAGCCAGTACTGCCACCATATCGAAGGGTAGGTGTGCTAGGTTTACTTCCAGCATTCAAGGCTTGGAACGATGTCATCTGACTGGGTGTGAAAGGTCTTGCCCGACCACCGGATGGGAATGTAGATTTGCTCTGGGTGGCACGTGGTGATGCAAATCTAACAGAAAAATCCGTACTAGACATTGTACTTGAAGACGTACCAGCCATATTACCAGCCATTGCATTCTGCTGTATTGGGCGATTGTAATATGCGGCAACATAAGATGGTGGTCCTTGCCTAGTCTCAGGAATGGCTGATTGAGTTTGATATCTTGCGGGAATGTTGGTCATGCTGGTCAAACCCGATGCAGCTTCTCTGTCCTTTGTAAGCTGGTTCTTCGGGCCATTAGGATTCCAGTTTGAATTGGCAGTTGGAATAAAAACGTCATCATCTTCCTGATCAAAACCTCTGGCGTTGTTAAACTCCTTTCTTGTCTGGTTTGCGATCTCATCGAGAACTGCCTGTTCTTGAGCGCTCAATTTTGGCATAACTGGCTTCTCATTTTTCGCAATTGCTTTCTTCGCAGAAGCAATTGAAGATTTCATGTCAATTGGCTCACCTGGAAGAAAATCGCAGTGGTCAATATCTGATGACACGGGGTAGGGGATATGGCCTAGAGGGAACTGCTTGTGTGTTTCTGAATCACCGCCAATTCGTTGCCAGTATGTCCAAGAAGTTGGCTTTGCTTGATATCCACCGGGATTATGATTAATAGCGGGAGGCAAGCTATCCCAGTCAGGAATAGGAGCTTTCTTCCACTCAGTTGCATTGTTATCAACAGTGGCCTTCTCACCCGCACCTTTGTATTCGCCTCTATGCAAAGGACTGTCAGTATTGGAACTTTGGATATCGACTGCCTTGCCCTTGCCCTTGCCCTTGCCCTCGCCCTCGCCCTCGCCCTCGTAGCTTGTTGTGGGTAGTCGAGGATTCGAAGCGTCGACAGCTTCATCGAAAGTTGTACCAAACTTGAAGGCAGATGCGATAGGGTTCAAGCCACTTGATACCCCACTTGTAGATGTCGTCTTTCCGAAAATGCCGCCGCCTGGTGGCTTACCGCCTGACAAACGTCTGACTCTTGGGTGTCTGGAGCCGTCAGCCTCGAAGATATGACCAATGTCGTTAATGTTGTACGTGTCTCTGCATTTTACAGTATGAAGCCTCAAAACAGGAACATTTCCTGCCACGCCAAGTTGGATAGCAGTACAATATAGTCCCCAATAGTTGTTCATTGGACCACCACTGATACAATTCCAGGTCACCCATTGTGCGGATGGATTTGGGACATTGAGCGAAGCGTGAGAGGTCGCATCGGTTACAACGCCTTCAATAGCTGGTAGAAAACTGTCCATATCACGTTGACCACAACGAACGTCGATACGCCGAATCAAATACTTGCCCTTGCCTCTATGGATAGAGTTAGGGTCACGCTCGCGTCTGTCGATAAGGCCCTGCAATTTGTTGATTAAATCCTTCAAGTCTAGATCGAGAGTCAATAAGATCGTGTGGTGACTTGTTTCGCCGCCTATTTCATCGTATGCGATCACGTCAATTTCGCGCTCCGAAAGTTCACATCCAGCTCGAATGTTCTCCTCACAGTAAGCATTTAATTGGCGACATGCTTCCTCGTAGGTGAGCGGGACGCTGGTGGACATAGCGTGCTTAGTCTGGCTCGACTGATGAGATTGATACGAGGTCACTGAGGGTGCGAGGTAGAAGTTTAGGTCTTCGCTATTGTCTGTATTGTCTTGAGACATTGGAACTTCGGCCGAAGGACCGAAACCGTCGCTGGCGGTTCGTTGGAGCATCTGGCGCAAAAATGGAGGAGTTTCCTCTTCTTCGTAATTATTCATATTAGCTATTGGAAAGCAAGACTGTTTTTAAACAATCAAAAAATGTGAGTGGATAAGATTTTGACCAGATCAGGGAAAGAGGTTGTTTGAAAGAAGAGGCTGCGAGGCAGAAGTAGTTGTAGGTGAACATAAACGCACTAGCGTGTTTTGTTGCCATGGGAGAAAGTGAATGTTTATTCTGCCAAATGGTGTGCGTCTAGCGGTGTCAAAAGCGAACGAGCGACGACAGTGAAGTTTGAAATTTCTTACTATCAGTTTCGGGTACGGTAGGAGGTGTTGGAGCAACTACTGTTCTTGTCAGTACGGACAACAAAAGGCCCAGCGAGAGGTAGGATGCGTACACGAGGTAAGTGCGGGATGAAAGGGTTGATCTGCAGAAAAGTCGGCGTCAGCAAGATGACCATTATGATGATGGAGATAAATGTACTTGCCATCGCCGTTGATCGAGTCGTCGGAGCGCACCGAACTAGCAAACTGTGATTTGGCTGATTTTCTTGGGTCAGCACATGCAGTGTTAGTGAGGTTGTGGTTCAAGTGGGATTTCTTACCGGAGGCGTAGCTTTCGTTGCTACTGGAGCTACTTGACTTGCTGACAACACTCTCCTCATCTATTTATAGAATGGAAAGTTAGTATGTGGCTCTGAGGTGATAGGTACAGTAGCTTATGAGTTGGCCATCCCCGAAATCTGGGAAACTCAATGTCAGGCTTGAATGCAGGCATTGAAACATCAGTTTCAGGATGCTCTTTTGCTGGAAATAAGCATGGAAGAGCAAGCAGATAAGCTTCAGAGGTTCTTGATCATCGGTAAATATTTCAATCCCAAGGATCAATGAATCGATGTTCAAGAACCTCTTCACTTGATAAAGTTCAATCAGCCAAGGCTCGGTCTATGTGTAGGAACAATAGCTTGAGGATGGAACGGAATTCCATCTTTCAGGTAAGTCTTGAAGGTCTAAATTCATCAAAGCAATTGTTGTTTTGGACTCGAATAATTGCATGATAAAAAAGAATCTTTTGCCCTAATAGAATAGAAAGATAAAGATAAATAGAATAGGAAAGATGTTTGCATACCAGAGGACCCCATGTTGTTGAAAAGTTGTGGATAATGTAGTGAGCCAATTTGTAAAAGAGAATAAAATGCAACAAAACAGAAGAGCCAAAGAAGAAAAAGAAGTCGAGAAGAAAAAGTTCAAGAGGTAAGTAATGGAGGAGAAAATCCGGACCCTTTTTCTGTCGCTTAGCTCGAATTGTCTGCCTGATTTTTTTTGTATGTCTTGTCTTTTTACTTCAGGAGGTTTGAGGTAAGGCTAGGGAGTGGGGATACCTGGGTGGAAGTTAAGACTTGTTTGGGAATATGTTTGTGCTGTTTTTGTTGCTTTGAGAGAGCAAAGAACAGGATGGTTGTGGTTTTGTTTGTGGGTTTGTTTTTGTTGTGAGGGTGTTGGGGTTTATAGCTGGGAAGTGGGAGGGGAGAGTGGCAGACGATGCTGCATGTTCTGGCCGGGTCACAGGTAGATTCTCTGAGCCTGGAAGTTCTTATCTTGAAGGGATATAAATGTGTGTTTGTTTCTCTTTGGGGTGGTTGATAAAGGTTTTTTTTATCAATATATGCTTTGAACTTCTTAGTTGATTTTCACTGTCTGGAACGATGGATGGGGATAGCAGATGGGGAGGTTTTAATAGGTATGTGATTACTTCCTCCTCTATCTAATTTATAGCACAGCTCTTTACCAGTGGTTTTTATATTAAGTTACTGAGATTCCTGGTTTAGACCATCGTGTTTGTTTATCATCTGAGAGGAAAGATGTTTTCTGTTCAACTCCTACCTACCTACATCATTGGAATTAATGGATGTTTACTTCTGAATCTGCAACAAACCTACCAGTACATAAGGGTAAAAATTGACTTTCATCGCATAAAATCCAAGGGCATTTAATCTTGTATCAGGATTTGGGACTGTCACCTTCATCTCTTCTCGTCTGTCTTTTTACCCTCTTGGGACTTGAATGCATGTAGTGGATTTTCAATTCTTGATGTCTTGTTAAGGTATTTCTTGGATGGATGGACTGGATTACTGATTACTGATTGCTGGTTGCTAGTTGTTACCTGTGATTTAATGTGGAAGGAAAGTGAGATTTAGTTTGTGATGGATCTTTTACGGTGAGCTCTCCATATCTCCTCCTGCCATCTTTGCTCCTCCGTCTTCCATCTAACAACACCATATTTTCTCACGGGACGAATTATTTTCTGCATCCCCACATCTTCTTTCCCAAGTCTATGCTAATTCATTTCCGAAGCACAGTTCGAAATCACAAAGTACGGACGAAGTCCGACAATCCACACATGTACGCTGGCGCGCGAGATGTAGCATTTCTCGATCGTATATGCCTTGGAATAATTCATTGGACCGAATGGCATACCACTTCGGCTTCTCGATCAGCCACTCGGATCCTTAATGAGACTTCGCCATCACAGCATTAGTACTTTCTTTGACACCTTACTTCTTCAACACCTCGATCGGGATATTTCTACGGCTTTTGGTCTTAGTAACCCGATGATCCGTCAATTATGATCTGGTAGCAAAAGATATATATTGAAATTCAGTCGCGCAGGCTGCTTGAGAAGTATATAGTGCGTAGGGGAACCCTGCGAAAATCGAAGGGTGGAAGTTGGACGTAGACGTCTGTCTACTCTCGCACAGCGCCAGCTCTTCGTTCACCGCGTGAAGGATTAATGGAGCTGATGCAGGGCCAAGCTACTATCACCTCTGTGTGCATTAATTCTGGAAGTGCGGAGGGTGCTTACAGATTGATCGGGTGATAATAGCTTGTCCGAATCAAGAATTTCAAGTGGGTATGTACTTCGACGTGATAAATAAATGCGACATGGAGACATTAATCTTACTTTCCTAGGTCACGAGAGTGAGATTACGAAGAGACTCAAGCTATTTGGGATTGATTATGGTACCTGGACATACTACTCCACATTTGTTGTGGCCATAGCGATGAGATAACATTCGATCCCTCTGAGAACTTTGCAATTACTGCACCATCAAAAGAATCTGCGGTATACAGGTCGGCCAAAGCTATCACTTTGCCAAGGTCATCTCATACTATCAACATATTGAGATTGACGAGTGTCAATCGGCTACTAGTACCTAGTGCATACTGATGCAGCTGCCCCTGCCCAATTTTCTTCACTCGTGGCACACCCTAGCTTGCGAAGGACGAAAAGCATGTCAATGAGCAGAGGCAAAGAACAAGATTGGTAGCTTCATTGACGGAAGGTTAGATTACCGACAGCATTGTTGGGGTATACTGGAGGGTTTCGTGTCGTGGTGTTTCTTGCATTTCGAAGAGGGCCAGCAGCCGCGCCATTAAAGCATTGAGGCTAGCCATTGTCGAATTGCTTTCATGCAGTATGATACGGCGACGGACAATGCGCGGAATAAATGATAGAATGATGCACTTCAATATTCCGTTAACATGATGTGGTGATACTCTGACAAATTTCAAAACGAAGGTAGCGAGTGATTCGATCTTACCTGGGAATACTCCGCGGTTAATTGGATTAATCCCACACACGTCTAGAACTTGGTCTCGCTCACCATCTGCAAGAACTTATTCTCGTGTGACAAATTTTTGTATACTTGATACGGCACGATGCGTTGGGTGTGAAGGAGCCGGAAAGTGTATTTAAAAAGGATGCACATGCGAATATCCGGAAAACTCGCTTGTATCACCCATGGATTTTCCAAAATCTCGAGAATAATAGCAATCACAAAAAGATCACCCACCCACTGCTTTCTAAGCAAACTGTTTCCAAATTGCATGAAAAGCATTAATCCTTTGCGGGAGTCCTTGAGCTAGCCCGATTATTTGGATCTGTACAAATCTTTTGCCAACTTCACACCCATGGACTAAGGTCTCAAAATGAATGCCAGTATGTGATATTGGGGTTCAACTGCAATAGGCCTGCCATTTGTTTGTCCTACGCAATGGGAATTAATCCTACAACATCATCTACTTTACAAAATTCAGTGTATCATATGGAAACACATACTTTAGAACGAATTTTCTGTTGCAGACCTTCCAAATCTTTCCATAAGGGAAAAATTCCGGTCTGACGACGTTTGAGAAGGCTTATCTGTAACCGATGAATGAATTCATATGTTATCTATTCAGTGCCATTCGGATTTCTGCATCTACTTCCTATCTCAAGGTGCTTGATTGAGCACCCGAGCATGAATAACTTAGATCTAAGTGAACACCACGTTTGAAAATGACAGACGAGTATTTTCACGCTTTTGAGAGGTGTCACTACCTACGTCAATTGATGAATCCCACCCAGCGTGCAACTAGATGGAGAGATTGTAACTTTGAATCACGAGGTAGGAAATAGCAGCCATGTGTACTGGTAGCTTCTCGGTTATGTACACCGCGAAGTCTGAAAGTCTTGACAGCACTAATGACTCTAGTTCAAGCACTAATAGATCTAGTTAAATATAATTTTCAACTATATAAGCAAGAAATGTACTCCCGGGTTTCCTTTTTCTCTTCACAAGTAATTAAATTCACAATCACAATCTTAACCCTTATCTTAATCGTAATAAGTCATCTCGAGCTCCAGTTGATACAATTCGATATACCTGCTTCAAACCCCTTTTTTTCTAAATTTAGAGCAAAAGTTTCGCCTGTTTAAGAACTTTGTATATTTCTTCCATATAACATCGTTCACCAAGATCATTTTTCGCCATCTCAAAAAACAGGCATCATCCTGTTTACGGACCAGAACTTGACAGGCGACCTCACCGCAATTTATATAAAATCTCTCAACGACTATATTTTGAGATATATTCGAGTACCTGGGAAACAATAAAACACAAGCAGGAGCAGTCATGTTTTCAAATTTGGAATCGAGACTCCGTCGAGCCATGGACTCAAGGAGGGGAAAGAGGGAAACCTATAAGGAAACGGAGAATAATGAATTAGTTCATCAATCCATCAGTACCAGCGAAACAGCAAAAGCAACAAACCCTGCTTTGAAGACACTAGAACAACCGAATGCAGATCCAACTTCTATCAAGGTCGAAATAGTTTTGATGGACGAGAAGAGCGAGCGAAAAGCAAGGCCACCCCACAAGAGAAGTTTATCGCAAGATTATTTATCAAGAAACATTTCATTGAACTCGCAGCTGATAAAATTGATCGTTCTCAACAACAGTTGTTGTTATTGAAACAAAAAGACCCTGCAGAGGAAGTATATCCATCTTTGCGTCTATCTAGTGAGCTAAGCATGGATATATATACATCTGGTGACATGATCGAGGATATGAATGAGGAGGAGTTGCCCTATACTTCCTCATCGGCTCCATCTGCGCATTTGACACATAATATCCTCCACCTGATAACTTGGGAGCTACCATAGGATTACTTCCACGACCAAACGCGCCATTGTCATCTAGTTTATTGATCCCAAGTTTTTCAGTCTGTAGTTTCTTGCGCCTTTGGCGTTCGCGATAGAGAAATAGAGAGCTACTATGACAGCGAGGTCGAGAGAAATACCAACTGCTGCTCCGACTATTGTGGGGGTTGAGCTGGAAGCTGCGGCGACTGGAGTGTTTGTTGCGGAAAGGAAGGGTGTCGATGCGGTGGTACGAGTCTGTGAAGTTTGAGGTGTGGTTGAGGATCTTGATGTTGAACTCGCAGATAAGGGTGTTACCGCGGAAGCTGCCGCTGAAGTTATGAGCGAATCACCTGGTTCCGCAAACATTGTGTCGAACCCCGGTTCGAAAGTTGATGTTCCAGCGACCAGAACGGATGTTAGTTCCCAGCTCTTATAGCTCTTCCCCATGTTCAAGCCCCTGTTGAGCTGTGGAGAGGCTCTGAACCACCAGATCAAAAGACACGTATGGACTGATGATGAACGGCACGAAAATTAAAAAAAATGTCTATAAGATCGATTAAAGCAATATACGAATACTGCTCGATACACATTGAATTTTCCTAAATTTATTTCCGTCGTTACCGTATTCTATGCTTGGAGATGGGTCTCCTAAGCCAAGAACGTAAAGCAAAGTGGCATAAGGCCAAATGGTACTCATAAATCAAGATAGGATCAATGGCGATAGAATGAAGCAATCGCCGACGATTTCGCATCATGTCTCTCGAAGAGAGAGAGCAGGAGGGGATATTGTAACTCGGGATTTTCAGTGCAGTCAGCTTTTGCAGATTGTTGTATATAATGGCTTTACCCACCAGTGGCAACCTGCATGTCGACTGATCATACCACTGAGGTTAGGACTCGGAGATGGACTGAAAGATTACAATTACCTAGGAATTAGTGGCCATATTTCAACCAAGCAGTATACACACTATACTCAGCGCATACCATAATGCAAGTTTTGCAAGATTTGACTTGTTGAGGCTACAAACTGTTACCGTGCCATATAGTCTTAGACCAATATAGTCTTAGACCAATATAGTCTTAGACCAATATAGTCTTAGACCAATATAGTCTTAGACCAATATAGTCTTAGACCAATATGATGTTATCCATTGATTCCACGCTCGATTGGTTCGAAAATTGTGGATGGTTTGATCTTGAGTCTGCGACATTTAAGATTTGATTTCGACAAGAGTTCAGAACATACACTTGCCAAGAGCACCCGTATGGAACATCAATCTCTAGAGAATCAACACGAGAGGTGTTGTTCAAAAGGAAGGGTGGCGAGTATTCACGACACCGGAAATAAGTAGCGAAGCTCCAGCATGGCCAACGATACTAGCCATCTCATGGAAATAAAGAGTGAAGGTATAAAACGAAACTGCATCCAGTATTGAAAAATGCAATAAATAGCGGAAACATGCAACAAAGCTGCATTCAACATTGAAAGGAGTAACAAATGGCGAAGAAATGCAACAAAAAGAGATTTTTCTCTTTGAGAAATGAGTGAATTGCGGCTGAAGCAAAAAAAACTAACGGGTTATAATCAATCATGATTTCAGCTGATAGTCGTGTGAGAGTAAAAGGATTCATCTCGGTACTGAACATCAACACGTCGATAGATGAACAAGTGAAAGCATAGAATAAGGATAAAAATCCTAATCAAATCCTTCGATGTCTGCCCCCCTCATCTACCGGACCACACCAGAGTCTGAGCGCAATGAACATAACCGCCGCAACTCTGCACGGCGGTAGGGACCAAGCTTCGAACACTGCTCATTTTCGTGGACATTTCAAGACATATCACCCGAACGCATAAGCCAGTTTGAGGCCTTTCGAATCCGCAGTGATCGTCGAGCAGCTGAGATTCGCAATCAGTCTGCCAAGAACGTAATCGTGATGATCGGGGTAAAGTACCGGAAGGATTTTAAAGACACGGGCGAATTGTGGATTGAGATGCAGAGTAGGAAGGAACGATACATGTACGCGCAAAACAAAACGGACTTGTGTCGCAATGATTCCATCACGTGGACGACACGTTTATTAAAATGTGACCCTGGGGCTCAAAAGCCAAAGATAGTTCAATATTTGATCCTTGATCAATAATCCCAAGATAGAAAACTTAAAGTTCTTCAACGATCCGCATAAACCGTGTCCACATTATTCTCCGCTCATGAGCTTCCCAGTGTAGGTATTTTTAATTTTTGTAGCCGCCCGGAGAAAAATGAAGTGGACTCTCTCACAAATTAAAATTGTCGAGCGGAGAAAAGATGCAAGCGATTGTAGATTACGCACGTGATCCACTCTCTCCATTGAAATTCCAATCATCGGATAAAAGTCCCGAAGTCAAACGAAACAGCCAACCAATCAATCATTCCTAATCAAGCAAACGAAAACCCCACGAAACACTTGTCGTTCTCGTTCCCTCGTTCAGCCCTTCAAGGGTACGAGAATGAACGATAATCAATCCTACGACCGTTATCGTGAACTTGCTCTATCTTTCTTGGACCTTAGTGCAGTCTAAGCGCTTTAGGTCTTTCCGAACTCCAGAATTCCATTTTTAGATAGTTCAGGCGAGCTATCCGAGAAGAAATACTACCTGATCGTACAAATTTAGTTATGGGAAATATTAAATCCCATATTGGCATTTCGAACAGTACATACTGTCTCGACCTCATGTCTTAAAAAATGCGAGACGTCTCAATTTGAAGTATGAAGAAAGCTAATCTTAGGTAGACCTCTTTTTGAGGCCGAAGCTCAAAGGCATGAATATCAATCTGACAATTATCGTTTACGTTTCAAGGGCTGTCATCATCGTATTCTAGTGAGCTCATACCTTCCTGTGGGCTTGGGTTATCTTTCGTCTGATGAACGATATGACGATATCATACCAGTGCTTATCAGATATGGATCATGGATCTCTCCATCCGATCTCTCTTCCATGTATCTTGCTCTTCTAGACTGTACAGTTAATAATGAGTCAGAGTTTTTCTTCCTGAAACTGTGAAACGTAGATCATGAAACAAGATGAACATCTTGACTAATTCTCGGAATGATACATCGCATCACTCCCATCAAAATTCCAAGATATAAAAATCGATCGATATCCAATAATTCAACCCATTCTATCAAAATCCAATTGATTTGTCTACAACCCTTGTACAATTATACCGTTCATACCTAGGCAGGTATGCGGCGCGTCGAGAGAAAAAACAGGGATAATTCTGAGATCATTCGCTTATTGGCATGTGCTCCTTTACCAATGATCTTCAAGGAGAGGTTACGTCGTCAACACGACCCTGACACGTAACCGCCAGTCTCCATTTCTTCAAACCCGATTTTGGATTAACGTGACATTTCTTTACTTTGAGCAGTCTCATTTGAATAAAGCATAATGTTACTCAGGCGCTTGGTGGTCGGCTGTGCAAATTTGTTAGTAAAAGCGTCTGCCGGTCGCGGTACTTGAATAGCATGATCGAAATTGGGAATAGTTTCAATTAGTACTCCACAATTGAGTTGAACTATTGCTTATTGAAAAAATCTATTCCGATTCACCGAAGTTTGATGGGTCAACAATTTGGCCAGTCGTATGTCGCAAAGGCTAAAAAAAGTTTCATTAAGCAAGCGCTGGTTAACCAATAAGGCGACAAATTATTCTTAGGTACGTCTTCAAGTAGCAATACCTAATGAAATTATTGTTCAATGCCGTTGCCGTTGTTTTGTACGAGTACCTATACCCTACCTACACTCAATGTTGTGCAATGTTGGCTTGTTGATTTCGGTAACGCGAGCGCTTGGAGAAATTTCGCGATGTTGCACGCGATGTCGTGGATTTTGGTACGTACTTATCCTAAAATGTAATTACCCGAACGCGTCTTTTTGCTTATTTCACAATCAGCGCCTCTATTTTGATTCGATTGTGATAATCGATTTTAATTGGATTATTTCTTGATTTCTCGGCAAGAACTATCAAATTCCCATGTACAATACCATCTCCCCGGATCCACTATCCAAAAAAATTGGCGTTCATGGGTAAGGTTAAATGGTCTAAAAATGAGTCATTTTAACATTGCATTAGTGTTCATACACTTAACCTAATTGAGATTATATTTTTCGGGCGGCTGCTGAAGAACGAACCATATGGCCTCATCTTCTTGACCAAGAAACAGTATCATGTCCACTTTGTATATTGTCAGTCTCGTCTAACTACATTTCTCCGCGTTTCGGATTATTTAGATCTTTTTCTTGATACCCCTGTCCGGAAGTCAAGTCGATCCATGAAGTGATCTAGGTATTGGATACCACCCTTCTACTCAATTTCAACGAGGATAAGTACTGGTAGTTATCGCCTCATATCTCATTTTTAGTTATTCAGTCTCATCTCATACTCTTTCTTTCGTTCTTCATTCATTCGCATTAGAAATTTCTTCTGTCATCAAAAAAATTAGAAGAGCTGTGCTCATCGTCATACCATCATATCATACCTTTTAATATTCTTCAGTCGATCTTGAAGCAATCAAAAATATCTGGAGCCGGCTCCTTCATCAGAACTTTAATATAGTGTCTCCTTTATAGCCACAGACCACCTACCGCTCACCACCACTATACTCATATCTCTGCGTAAGTAAAGCACCTGACATTGCTAATAAACTTGGACTACAATGACATTGATTAACGTTTTAATGTGTGCAGTCCGGTAGCAGACATGTCATTTGATTATTCTTCGTTCTCATTTGAGCCAACTACTCCTCCACAATTCACATTTGAGGAGCCTTTGATTAGTGCTCCTTTCAGACTTGGTCACTCTCGATCAGGTTCGCAAGTGTCAATCTATTCTCGAGATTCATCTCCATCCGATTCTATCAGCATTTCAAGTACCCAGATGACTACTCCGGCTAGATCACCAATTAGACAACACGGCCCACTTCTCTTACCCAAGATTCGTCCACAAGATCAGGAAATCAATGCTTCGCCCTCAACTGGATTGAGAGTCACCAAAACATCAAAAAAGAATACCGCTAGTCGTGCATTCAAACCTACTCATAATAGGAGCTACACGAATCCCGAGACAATCGTTTTTAACTCTGATATTTTCCCTTCGAATACTCGTCCAATGTCTACTCTTTGCTCACCAATGTACGCTGTTCAATCAGTTGAAAGTCAGCAACACAGACGTTCCTCAAGCTCCAGTCTTGATGGTCAAACACTCGGCAAATATGGATTCCCAACGTATCGTCAAATGCCAAACTACATCCAACAATCTCCAAATATGCCAGTCATGGAATCATACTCACCACAACCACATGAGCGATACCCAACTCCTGCACGTGAGCCATCCCCACTTGCTCAAATGAGCAGCATAGACGACATTCACCCCATCCATATCTCCGATAATTCAACATCCAACCTCGCTACATACCTCACTTCTCCCAACCCCGCTCCAGCTCTTGTCCGTCAACTCAACATTCATGTCCGTGACACAAACGCCAAGCATTTCTGGTGGGACATCCGACAAATCCGACCCTGGACATCCTTCAACACCACCACCATTTCCTCCATCCCCGGTTTTCACGATTTACTAAATCTCGGTCTCCCATCCAACCTTTTCCAACATCCATCCCGTGCTTGCAACAACCCCGAGAATGAACACGAGTTGCAAAACATCTATACTCAATTCTACGCCGCAAAACTCAACCGCGCACTATCCATTTCCCAAGGATCCCGCCATCTAATGATGCGTGCATCATCAGCCATGGGACAAAAGTCTGGCGATCCATCTTTCATCTCCAACTACACCGACGACAACTCCCAGCTAATCTACGGACGAGGACTCGGTCGCGTCGTCGGATTAGTCAAATCCTTCGACCGCTGGAACACCGGCATGCGCGTCGAAGGCAACCATCGCAAAGTGGAGTATCTCCGCGGCCTTGCACATCTACACAAATGTATGCGCGAACACGGATGTCGCTATGGATTTATCATGACGGAAATTGAACTTGTCGTCGTACGCAACGGATCTGAATCTGTTCCTCATTTCGGATATCTCGAAATCCAAACTATCCAGCTTGCTGCGCATTCGAATTCTACTTCTGCATTTTCCGAGATGGATAATTCTTTTGAGGATGATAAGTTGGAGAATATGACGGCGTTGATGGCGCTTTGGTATTTACATATGCTTGCGAGAGATGAGATGTTACCTGGTCAGATGACCTGGAAGACGGAGATTGGTGCGCCGGCTGAGGGAACGAGGAGGAAGATTTTGCCAAAGGATGATTGGATTCCGGAACCGCAGTTGGCGGAGAAAAGAGAGGCGAAGAGGGGTCGTGGGTGGGTTTGGCCGGAGGAGGGTGTGGGGAGAAAGGAGTTGGGGAAGAGGGGTGTTAGGTATTAGGTATGGAGATGAGGGAAAAGTAAAGGGAAGAAAATAAAATAGAAAACCGCAGGCCGGTTGATGAATGCATTGAGGAGTTGGAACGGAACATGGATTTGAGCTGCAATTAGTAAAGGATGCAACTCTGGGTAGTCTAATTTGGGTGGCATAGTGAATAATTAGGAGTATTGATAATGAATGGCATTTTGCGCTTCTAAGAACTTTATCTTGTTACTGTCATAGTTTTTCTCGCATGAGTTTGAGTCGTCTTTCATTTCGAGAATAACATACCACTTTTGTGATTTTGTAGTAAAATTTGTCAACTACCTATTCAAACCCCTGAATTTGAAAGTAAAGATGCGGCACAGACAACTCTAAGCGAGCACTAACCCCATTACAACCGCTCACTCCGAGCCTAACTATGATTTGAGCTACCCAGGCTTCAAATGTGGGATCCACTTTCCCAAGGGTCTTAAAAGTCTAAGTCATTGACAGATGCACATCTTTTGGTCGTTGCATGTCAGAATAAATTTTCGATATGTCTCGCTTTCAACGTGCTTTGGTCAGTGTATCCAAGATTCTCATGAGCACATACCTCTGTTGTTATCGAAATCTTGTATCTGACATTCAAACTAGATCTGCGGCCTGCTGTTGCAACCAGTAGTTGAATCTCAAATCTTTCTTGGAGCACCTCAGGTTGAGGCTCCCGGAAATTTCTCCACAGCTTGCAAGTACGTTGTTGATGCCAAAAACTCGTGGAATACAATGCTAAGTAATTTTAACAATATAGTGCTACTTTCAACGAGAACATCGCATGTAACAAAACGCTGTATGAGGTCGCACTGGGACAATTATTTCCCACAGTCGATGATCTTTCTAGCATTTGCACTGACACCTGTCTGGGATCTCTTGAGACTTTGCGAGCTCAGCAACTGTTAGATTGCAGCAGTTCCGATTTAGCGGTCAACGCCGGAGAGACATATCCTCCAGCTCTCACTACTGATATTCTCTTATTCACATACAATTACACATGTATACAGGATCCGTGGATATGCCCGTATTTTTGTTAGTCTTTGACTGATCTCTTCGTCTATAGAACCACAAGTGGATACTGCTATCCGGACTTTTTCGCATGGAATAATGACACTGAAAGCACAACCTCCACTGAGGTCTGCTCAAATTGTAATCTTCTTATTCAGCAGAGCCAGCTAGATTCGCCACTTGGATGGGATGATGATTCCGCTAGCATGTATTCATCACTAACGTCTTCGTAAGTTAGTTCAGATACACAATCACTAATAAACAAAAAACAAGTCTCACTCACTGACCACTCGACAGCTGCGGAGTGACGAAATATCCAGTCGCATCCCCAAGTCCATATTCTTTGGATGTCACAGCTACTGTCTCATCGACTGCAAATCCTTCGACTACCACAGCCGCATATGCATGTATATCAATGTACACGATTCAAGAAGATGACACTTGTAGGTCCATCAGTGAATCCCAGCAGGTAGCGACATTCTATCTGATGCAAGCGAACGATTTCCTCTTTAGTGCAGTTTTGCTTGATGACACGGTTCAATATAATGACTTTCATCCGTGCATAATTATCCTGGAGTATCAACTGCTGCTTCGACAGGAAGTGCAAGCGCCACAACGCCCATAGCGTAAGTCTAGCTACCCCCGAAACTATTCCGACTATGAATACTACCACCACTGACTTTCTTAAACATATATAGATCAGTTCCGACAAACCTAGCACCAAATACAACGACAGAATGTAAGTTTCATATTCGGCCCCGTGAGAGATTTAAGTAAAGCGACTGATAATGATTCTTCTTTAGGCGCAGAATATTATCTAGTGCTAGATGGGGACGACTGCGCAAGTATATCGATTGTCAAGGGTATCTCCTTGACAGACTTTTACTTCCTGAATCCCATGGTAAACAGTACATGTGGAAATCTCTGGACTGACACTTACTACTGTGTCGAGGCCGTAGGAAATATCGCGACGTATCTCGGATATGGGTAAGCACTCAACCAGTTACACTTCCAAGCTCTGTTGAATTCTTGCAGCACCTTCGTTTGGAAATGAATCATTCTGCTTTTTATTCGCTGACAACATACTCTAAACCACAGGGGGATGTCAACAACGAAGAATCCATGTTCACAACTGGATGCCCCTGCCAGCTGTTTTGTCACCACATACCCTACCACTACGCCATTTACTTGGCCAGCAGTGGGCACAATGACTACGACTGCTTTGTTGACTAATTTTACATCCCTCGCCGACCTTCCACTTGCACCCGGGACTTCAGCATCCTGTTCACAGTATGCAGAGTACTATCAGAGCAAGTCTGATATCAACTCATGTGGGGCCATTGCCCATTTCTATGATAGTCAGTTTTTCATCCTTTTTCTATGGAATTCCTTAATATATTTCTCCATGTTATTGATTCTTCTCGCTGGATAGAAAAGTCTATTTTACTGACGATTCTTCAATGTGTGGCCAGTTGGAATATCAGATGTCGTCGCATGGAATCCATCCCTCATGTATGATGCAAACAACACAACTTCATGCGTGTTTCTTCCCGGCTATCGTTACTGCGTCGCAGGAACCACTACAGGGTCAGATGGCACTTCCAGCATCTCAATCAATGGTCTGTGCGGTGCCGATAATACAAACTATACATGCGAAGGTAGTGTATTTGGAGATTGCTGCTCGGAATGTGGAAACTGTGGTTCGACGAGCGACTTCTGTGGCGTGGGGTGTCAGTCGCTATTCGGCAGCTGCACAGTAGCGTCTGCGACATCTTAATCTATGACTGATACGGCTACGACTACTACTGCGGCATTGCCAACCGTCACTCTTTCACCTGACGGCTCATGCGGTGGTGAAAGTGGTAAGTGAACTACATAATATTTTTATTCCATCTCTAGAATATTCTAGGAAATGTTTCACACGCCCATGTTCATTACTGGAAGGTGTTGCTAATCTCTACCGGTACAGGATATACCTGCGAGCCTTCAGACTGCTGCAGTGAAAGTGGATATTGTGGTAACACTTCCGACTTCTGCGGTGTGGGATGCCAGTCAGCGTTGTTTTGACTACCGTACTGGCTCAATGGTGGATGTGTAGCGATTATGATAATTGGACATGTGCTGGGTCGACCTTTGGAAGTTGCTGTAGTCAATATGGATTCTGCGGTAGCGGCAGTACATATTGCGACGTTGGATCGGGTTGTCAAACGGCCTCGGCGAGTGTGCTTCTTGAAACTTGTACGTGATCCTTTGAGCTGGGTGTATTGGTATATTACCTTGCAAGGAGTGCATATTGTGGTGAAGGAGTTGTGGTAGTCATCTTTTCGAGGAAAAAAAAGGTGCGGTTATGTCCGCGGAGATAGAAATTTCTTATCCCTTAATCTGTTGAGCACTGCACCAGCTCGTACATCATACCAATAACGGCTCTTTTACAATGGTGATTTAATCGAAACGAATCCGAATTGTTGCTAGAATTTTATCTTGCAAATCTTCCGGTATAATTTCAGGAATGACTCGCGGCCATTCAGACCTTCATGGCCAAGCCATTACGTGGACTCGAATAATCTAGAATGATTGTAAATAAGAAAAACATGAGCAGGAACTGATTTTTTATGTTGTGTCTTCAAAATCATAGACTGCAAATGCGGAAATGTATCGTTCGATCATAACCATGATTTATGGTAAAGGCGATACCATACCTGAGCGATACGCTGGATATGGTGCGTCAGGCTCCTAGATATCGACATTAGTACATCTTATACCACAACAGCAGAATACTTTCTAAAAATGTAAAGAGTATGAGACGTGGAAGGAGTACAAACCATCACCTCCGCAGGACCTCCCTTACTGTTCACATATCGCGTTTTCCAATCCTCGCTTTTGGACATAAAGCAGTAGTACAACCAGTCGAAGACCTTGGGAAGAGGAATCGTAATAAAGCCTTCGAAATCGAATGTATCCGTCTCTTTGTAATCCGGATCTACAGCTCGTAAAGACAGTGTGGTATCCCAGGGATCTGCTTCCCCGGAACTTTTAGGTTTGTAAAGCGTCTTGGTGGATATCACATCGTGGTCAAGAGCCGCATCGTTTACCACTAGAAAGCAATCCGTTGCTCTCCCGCTAGGTATCTCTCCATTTCCCCTCATTCTCTTGAATCGTTCTCGTAATGTATCCAGGCTCGCGCCATCTAGTTCTGGATCGGAAACAAGAAGAGATTTCTGGGTCGTGACTAAGGTGTTTGCTTTAGTCCAACAGTCACGTAGAACAGTAGCTGCGGTCATTCTATAAACGCCTTTGAAGACATGCCATTTTTGATCTGTTCCTTCACGATAATCTGTCCGAAATATAACAAACCCCCAATGAGCTAGCTTTGCGGCAAGCATTTCCTGTACCCATTTGGGTCGACCAGCTTCCCTCTGCGCGGCGAAGGCGGCACGCATTTCCTGTGCTTTCTGCTCACGCTGTTGTTCCCTAACTGGCTGATTGAGCCGTCTCAGTTTATCCCATCGTTTGCTGGCAAGGCGGTTAATCGCGTTGTCATAAGGATTACCCAAGGAGATCTGTACTTTTTCGACAAGCTGCCGTTCTTCATCCATAAGGTCCATAGACCACAGAAGATATCTTTTGCCACTGGCTAGATTACCTGGCTCCCACGTAACGCCAAATAAGATAATATCAGCCTCTTCTTGGGTAAGGGTAACGAGGCTGACTGCCACTTTATCCTTCAGCTCCGCCATAGTTAAGCCAACCTTTTTCACACAAAGTCTATCTTCTTCATCTGGTAGTGGAAGTCCATCTAACTGATTCTTCTCTGCGCGAGTGATTGATGTGGGGTCTTTCAACAAGGCAACACGCTCATATAGTGCTTTGTCCTCGGGTGGCATTCGAAGGTTTTTGGTTATCGAGAACGTCGAGAACTGGGGTGCGTTAGATGATCCCGAGTCGGCTGACATCTTGAATGCTCGAAATAAGATGAATGCACGATATGTAGATGACCGTGATCGGGGGTAAATGCATTGATAAAGGTGATTCGACACTTTATCCAGGATGGCATAGTGTAACGTCCTCAACCGTAATCATATTTTCGCTCCGAGAATACTGTCAATACTGTACGGTGATTCGCATACACCCTATAAGCCTATAGGGGGGAGTGATATTATTCTATTTCAAGAGGAGAGTTGGGGAACAAGAAACAAGAGATGAGGTGAAGAGCTTCGAGATATGATGTTGAATTGTAGGAGCTAGCAGCATTGGTTTGGATTGGGATTCGTGCTGGCTGGACGGGACTCATTGTCTCTAGGTATGTCTAAGCTTCTCGTTGCAGGTCAACTCGGGGTATACCTACCTAGTTAAAAGATGCTCTAAGCGAATTAGATTGAGTACCTAGGTAGATGAACTTTCTCATATTATGATTTACTTTACCTAGTTAGTATCAGCGTATCTACCTAGTATTTGATACCGAAAAACGAAACCCATCGGCGTATCACCAGCCAGCCAGGTTGAATCTTTACACGCAAAGTGATGAGTCTCCTACCTAGCAAATCAAATGAATTGAAATGCCCAATTCATGTGACCATCATAACCATCAAATGATGTTGCACCTCAGAAATAATGTGATATCTCGGATGGACTTCGGCTTGAACTTTGACACTCTGACACTTAGATGAGTAATCTCACATGACCTTCAAATAATTGTGTTGCACATCTAGAATTGAGGACCTGGAGGGTATGTATCACTCAAACAATCAATATATGTATTCGTCCTATCAATGCAATTAGGCGCCTGATAGCGGGGTCACCTCTGAGGATTTTCACCATGGGATGAGATTAGATGAGCAGGTACGAAGTGAGAATTTTGGGATTGGTTTTGTACGATCGATACATCCCTTTTGATTTTTATTCAATTCTTCCAACAACATTGACGACATTCAATTCGAGTACTGTAGCTTTGTGATTCTTGATCATTGAGTGTGGACTCTGATTCTGACATAAGGAGGCACGCAAGCTGAGTATTCACAAGATGGAGGAAGTAAGCACCAGTCATCCATTGGTTTGGATTGATTGTGAGGTGTGTTGTGTATTTCTTTACTATTTATTACCCCTCCATTGTTCATCTGTTCATCTGTTCATCTGTTCATCAAATGATATACCAACACCTATGCCCGCATTGGATTAGAATTTGAGGTATACTATATCCTCAAGCTTGCAGGCTAACAATGGCATATCGTATAGATGACAGGACTGGATGTTGAAAACGATGTCATTATTGAGATCTCCTGTGTAATTACGAATGGGAATTTGGAGGTGATGGATGAGAAGGGCTGGAATGCTGTGATTCATCAGGATCAAGAGACGATGGATAAAATGGTTTGTACCTCCTTTATTTCCCTGAACACGGGTTTGCAAGCTTGCACATCTCTTCTCCCATGATAATATCGTCATTTTCATTCATTAAAGGTCTCGCATGCATACTTACAATCTCTCAACCTACAGGATGAATGGTGTACCACAACCCACGCCTCCACTGGCCTAACCTCCGAAGTTCTCTCCTCAACCACCACTCCCACCGAAGCTGCCGAGTCTCTTCTCACATACATCAAATCATGGGTTCCTGAACCCCGTCGCGCATTACTCGCTGGAAATAGTGTTCATGCCGATAAAGCATTCTTGAGCAAAGGACCTTACAAACAAATAATCGAGCATCTGCACTATCGAATCTTGGACGTGAGCAGTATTAAAGAAGCTGCGAAGCGTTGGTGCGATTTGAGAGTCTTGGTTGATCAACCAAAGAAACAGGGAAAACATCGAGGGAGAGAAGATATTTTGGAGAGTATTGATGAGGCGAGATATTGGAAGGAGAGAGTTTTTCAACAAGTACCTGTTTCGAAGTGAGGGTTTGATAGGATTAGTTTTCACATGCTGAATTTCTGATTTGTTAGGCATGAACATGAACCGATTCTTGCGTGGCATGGATGAGTGAGATGATCATGTTGATACTTTGTTGTGCGTATGTTTGTGCAGATTGATACCCCCAACGAAGAGAAAGGAGGGTTGCGTTGCTACGTTATGAGAACGGCAGGAGAATTGTTGAAGTTAGGTACTTGATCATTGACATCAATAATACGACTTTCACTAGTAGACAATACTACCAAGTTTTTCTTCATAGCTCCCGTCTTATCGTATGATGGCGTAACGCTAGGAATTATCCATGCGGTGTTGAAAGGAACTGGTTGCACACCACCTGCAACGATAAACGTATGAAGGAAGACCACCCGTTAATCTTTGATTGGGACAGTGACACCCACACGTCATGATTTGCCATGGAAGCGTGAGAGACGTCGAGACTAAATGATTTTTGACTTTTGAATGGGGGAGTCTTTGAAAGCTGCATGGTGTAACTGTGCATTCATTCCCAACTTTATACAATCTAACCAGAACGCGACAAAGTTCCTAGCAATGAAGGCTAGGCTCAAGGGGCCGTCGGATAGTGTGTGATGTGAGGCTGAAGGTTATTTAGGTCCAATTCTTTGATATTGGATAGAATTCATAACGTTGGACCACGATATATTTACCAGGAATCACATAATATCTGCTAAATCGTTCCATCATCACATCTACATGTACCTACCTAGGTAGTATTAAACAATCATAAGATGATGATGAATCAAGACTTTGACGACGTCAGGAATCGAATAGCCTAATATCAAGTATGTATGTATGTATGTATGTATCTTCGTATGTATGTATGTATGTATGTATCTATCTATCTATCTTCGCATGTATGTATGGGAATATCCAAAAGATACGTACTTCCTATAGTTAGCTATTATGAGTATGAGGTAATCCATCCATCATCATTCGAGATCTTCACCCCTCATCCCATCACGAAGAGTGGGGTCATCAAATCCATTCATGTGCGCATCCCTGGTCTCCTTGTGCAAGTTCCTCTCAACGAATGCCCCACCAAACGAACCTTCTCCACCTAGGAGCTAATATCAACACCGCTGGTTGAGCTGGTCTTGTTGGCATCAAAAACTCCTGTGCCCCCTTTTTAATTCTCATACCATACGCTTGCTTTTCTTTCTTAATCTCATACTTCATCTCAGAGAAATTCACATCAGAAATCATGAGTGTCAAGACTGTTTCTTTGAAACCTTTTACCGATCAGAAGCCCGGAACGTAAGTACTTGTTTTTGGAAGCTTGCACCCCACCTCTCCTCTCCTCTCTTCTCCTCTCCTCTCCCTGATTAAATGCTCCATTTTGTCGATATGGAGGGGAATATTGATTCTTACTGAATCCTTTACAAAAATCGAATATCAAAACGCAGTTCACTTCAGTCCAGTTTGCTAATATTCTGATTATTCAGTTCTGGTCTCCGTAAAAAGGTCGTTGTTTTCCAACAAGAGCACTACAGCGAGTCTTTCGTTGCCTCTATCCTCCTCTCCATCCCCGAAGGTGTCAAGGACAGTTTCCTCGTTATTGGTGGTGATGGACGATACTGGAACCCAGAGGTTGTGCAATTGATTGCAAAGATTGGTGCCGCATACGGTGTCAAGAAGTTGTTGATCGGTCAAAATGGTATCTTGAGTACCCCTGCTGCGTCGCATATTATCAGGAAGAGAAACGCGACTGGCGGTATCTTGTTGACTGCTAGTCACAACGCTGGAGGTATGTTTTAGTCTTTTTCCTCATTTGGGGGATTTGGGATGATGTCGAATGGATTCGAGTAATGATGTAATGGGAGAAGAGAGATCGTGGCTAATTTTTGATTGATGAACAGGTCCAAAGAACGATTTCGGTATCAAATACAACCTTGCAAATGGTGGACCAGCTCCAGAATCAGTTACAAACAAGATCTTCGAAGCTTCGAAAACTCTTACCGAATACAAGATTGCCGATATCCCAGAAGTCGACATTGCTACAATTGGCACAAAAACATATGGTTCATTGGAAGTTGAGATTATCGATTCTTGTACCGATTATGTTGAGATGTTGAAGGATATCTTTGATTTCCCTCTCATCAAGAAATTCTTCGAAACACACACCGATTTTAAGGTTCTATTCGATGCCCTCTCCGGTGTCACTGGTCCTTACGGAAAGGCTATCTTTGAGACTGAATTGGGTCTTCCAAGCTCTAGCACACAAAACTGTATTCCTTCACCAGATTTCAATGGAGGTCACCCAGATCCTAACTTGACCTACGCGCACTCACTTGTTGAGGCTGTTGATAAGGGAAAGATTCACTTCGGTGCTGCAAGTGACGGAGATGGAGATCGTAACATGATTTACGGTGCTAATGCATTCGTCTCCCCTGGTGACAGTCTTGCAATCATTGCTCATTATGCACAAACTATCCCATACTTCAAGAAACAAGGTGTCTACGGTCTTGCCCGCAGTATGCCAACATCTGGAGCTGTTGATCTTGTTGCTAAAGCTCAAGGTCTTAACTGCTATGAAGTTCCTACCGGATGGAAATTCTTCTGTGCTTTGTTCGATGCTGATAAACTTTCCATCTGCGGTGAGGAATCTTTCGGTACTGGATCGAACCATATCCGTGAGAAGGATGGTCTTTGGGCTGTCGTTGCTTGGTTGAACATTATCGCCGCTATTGGTGAGAAGGATCCAAGTGTTACTCCAAGTATTGCCAAGATTCAACATGATTTCTGGACTATCTATGGACGTACCTTCTTCACTAGATACGATTATGAGGATGTTAGCAGTGAGGGTGCTGCAAAGGTTGTTAAGGATTTGAATGCTAAGATTGAGGATTCTTCATTCATTGGCAGTAAAATTGGTGGTAAGTTTTTCCTGTCAGTTTTTTGATGTCATGACAAAGTAGCTCACATATTACCTCACAGACCGTACAGTTTCTGACGCCGGTGACTTCTCCTACACTGACCTCGATGGTAGCGTTTCCCCCAACCAAGGTCTTTACGTTAAGTTCTCTGATGGATCCCGAATCGTTGTTCGTCTCAGTGGTACCGGTTCTTCGGGTGCTACAATCAGATTGTATATTGAGAAACATACAGATGATAAGAGCACCTACGGTCAAGATGCTCAAGTATTCTTGAAGGATAATGTAGACTTCGCTGTGGAGTTGTTGAAGTTTAAGGAGTATATCGGTAGAACCGAGCCAGATGTCAAGACTTAAATTAGTCTGAAGGACACGTGGGGTTGAAAATAAAAGAGATAGTTGTGAAAAGTAGTTTTAGCGTTGCAAGCATGCAAATATGATATCAATACAATGTTAATCATTATGACGATTATTATGGAGATTTTGTTGTTTTGTTGTTTGGGAATGAATGTGAATGGCAAGAGGAATTTGAAATGTTTGGGTTGTATTGGGAATCTGGAATCTGGGAATTTGAGATTTGAGATGAGAGGTAAATCGCGGAGTGTAGATAATTGGTTGTGAGTCGTAAAGGTGCTGTGGAAATTCGAAATGGGATGTTATACCTGGTAGCTGAAGAGTTGATATGATGATGTCTCGAGAAGAGAAGAAGGGGGTTCAAGAAAAGGTATGATGCAAAATGGTGTGAGGATGTAAAATTGGAGAAGTGTGCAGATTGAGCTATGCTGGGATGGGGTGGATAGGAGTGAGTAGGAGATGCGAGGTGAGATGGGGGAGGGAGAGAGAGAGGGAAGGAGAAGGTGAGGGTGAGGGAAGGAGAAGGTGAGGGTGAGGGTGGAGATGAGGGAAATGGAAGAGATGGAAGTGGATAGATAGGTAGGTGGTTGGGTAGATGGAAAACGTGAAAGTGAGTAGGTCGTTTAAAGGTAGTATGAAGATGGCTTTTTGGGGGGAGGAAAATGAAGGGAGAGAGGAGGGGAGGGGAGAGGAGAGGAGAGGGGTATTCGATAGGAGGGAAGTGGTGGTGAATGGGATGTTGGAAGTTGGAAGTTGGAAGATGATGAAACTATAAGGGGATAGATAAGGTGGTGGGATTATCTAAATGGATATCTAATGAAGATTGGGTGATGGGGTTAGATAATGGAGATGTTGGAGGAGGGATGGGTGGGGAGTTAATGGGGAATAGAGGAAAGAGGGGATGGGGGATGGGGAAGGGAGAAGAGCGGAAAGAGGAGGATTGGAAGAGAGGGGGGAGTGGAACATGTGGTAGGTGGTTTTGGTGGGTTTGGGACTGAATTGGTTGGATGATTAGGTGTTTGGATTAATTGGTGATGTTGGGATGGGATGGGTATGGATGGTTTTTGTAGATGGGATGGTGGTGCTGGTGATGAGTGTACCTGGGTATGAAGAGAGAAGGAAGGGCGAGGATATAGGATGGGAAAGGGAGGGAAGAGAATGGAGATTATAGGTGAGTTGAAGATAAAAGAATGGGGATGGGGATGGAGATGGGGATGAGGATGAGGATGAGGATGAGGATGGAGATGAGATGAAAAGGGAGAAGATGAACATTTATAGGTGTGAGATCCGATGAGATAAGATGAGATGAGTTTGACATGAGATGAGATGAGAGGTTTGTATATTTTCTAGCTCGGAGAGGTATTGAATTGGGTGGAATGGTGGAGATGATGTAGACGAGATGAGAGATGGGATAAAGAAGATGATGAAATATAACAAAACGAAACAAGCGAACTCAGAAGAAGAAGAAGAAGAAGAAGAAGAAGAAGGAGGAGAAGAAGAAGAAGGAAAAGAATTCTAGCTAAGATGTAGGTCATGCTGTGAATATATGTACGAGAAAAATCAGTCGATTCTCACGAGTACTTCCAAAATCACATTACAATGAAGTATCACGGAATTAAATCGCGAAAGATACAAATGGGTTTTAGGTTTTCTTGTTTTTTTGTTTGATAGAGTATTAAACTCTTTTATATCCCTTGAATATCACTCTGATATTGTTTTTTCCCTATGAATCAAAAAGAGAACCCCAGATTCATCCTAACCCATACCGATTCAGCGATCCAACCCAATCATATCCAGTCAGAGACTCATATGCTTAGCAAGCACAGGAAAAGAGCCGTTGAAGTGTTCATTAATCAACATTGGCTTACCCATCTGTAGATTAAGACTATTGGCAGGACACTCACCCCAGAGCATGTAAGCCTCATTGAGAGTGTGAGGGGGAAGAGTCGGTAATGGGTAGTAGGTCTGATCCCGAATGTATGAAGTCACTCGTTCTGGAGGTTACTATTGAGTATATAGATCCTCTCGTTTCTTTGGGAGGGTTTCCCACTCTTAGTAATGAGAAAATGCTTTCCGGGTGAGATTTCCTTGATAGATGTTTTGGTTGTGTGGTAGTCTAATGACGTAAAGATTTGTTGGTAGACTGATTATGTTTTTAGCCTTTACTGATTTCCTCGCTGGTTTTTTTCCTCCTTCGCTTTCGGATTCCGCTCAACTACCCCAGATGCATTATAAACCCTATTGCTATCATCCTGAACCACCGAATCAGGCCCAATTTCATTTTCAATAGTGGGATCATTGATAAATTGCTCACATACAACTTTATTGTTGAAGTCCTTAAATATTGAGATGTTAAATGGCATTCTTCTTTCGACTAGCGAACAGATGCTTTTTCAGCCACGCTTCATACTCCGGGTGCTTACAAACCGATTCAAAAGTAAAAGGAGAGCAACTATCAACCGCAACAATATCGCTATCCCTTCCACCATGCAGCACGCGATCCTCGTATTGCATGATCTTTCCATCAGGGTCTGTAAATGGGTGACCCAAATGCGGGACACCCTTCCGAACCCTCACGCCCCTAACAAATGGCCACCGGAAGAGTCCAGCCTCCCAAACGAGCACATTCTTTGTTTCTTTCGCCAAGATGAGAACGCCTTGGATGTAATCAGAGATTAAATCCTTGGCATAAACGCCATCTTTAGCATAATTGATCAAATCTCGACAATGCACTGTTGCTGGCTTAGGATCTCAAATCCGCCGCGCAGCTAGTTCCTGTAAGTTTGGTTTGTAGGCATCTTGTGAATCGACCTTCTGGATCTATTCGGGATGTTCCAGCCATTCTTTCTCTGATAGGCGATAAGTAGTGCCTGATCCGTCATGTTCGTGAGCATACCTGGCATCAGAAAGACTAGTGTATTGTCTTGAGATGTAGTGTGCACGAGTGTACCGCCTGGAGAGTGACTGATATCCCTGCATTTATAATCTTTTTGATTGTTCCGATCAAGATTTCCTTTATTTATGATACCCTTACTATCTCCAACCTTCGGATATATTGCTCCCTCGCCCTCGAGTTGATCTACTGCATCAAACGCTTTCAAAGATCTGATTGGCAGATTGTTGACCTTTTCTCTGAATTATTAGTGTTGACGCGCTCGTAGTCAAGGGCATCCTCTTCCCTATCTTCGTACAAGTGATGCTTCAGCCATTCTTCGTAATTTTGTGCTGCTTTCATTGCCGCGAAAGTGAATTTTGATCTGCTTCTTTCATTTACCGCGCTTTTAGTGGGTTCTTGGTCGGCAAGCATTAAAGATTTCGCAGCCTCTAAGACATCGCTTGCCCCCACGTAGCTAAAGCTTTCGAAGATCTTCAAGCACATAGTATCAGACTACTGATATGCCAGCGTAACACGGTTCTGTCCATTTTCGAATTGAACCTTCAGTTGAGTATCAGTCAAATCCAGAATTTCAATTCGAAATCCAGATTGGCCACATAGCAAGCGCCCTGCGTGATACATCGGTTACCATGATTCCTGCCGAACCAAGCCTAATAACATTTTCGTTCTCTGACAACGAAGTCTGACTCTAATTTCTGGTTGTGAGAGTCTGTCACTTTTTTCCCTCCTGTGGGACTGGAAGATGTGGATATGTCTGGAGGAATTTCTTGAGAAAGCGATGGGAAGTGGTGTAATGAGTTCAGTGCGAGAGGGATATGGATTTTATGTATTTCACAACATCCTTTTGATCTATCTCCCCACCACTTTCCCCATTGCCTGATCACCTCGTTTCCCACTTATTCCGCCACTTTTTTCTCTGGAACTGGTGTACCTCTTTCGATGCAGACTCGAATCTTGGTGTACAACGAAGACCGAAAACACAGTCATCGTATCCGAGCGACCAAGCCAGAATCTAGGACACTCCTCTCCTATTTGTCTCTCGGTTCAGATGTCAACATAAATAAATATATGAGCATCTGCGTAAAGACTGATTTCCGAAACTCTCGAAACTCGTCGATGTATTTGTATGGATCTCTATATCCCGGTGATGGGTATTGCTACTACAATGGCTAGAGCAAGCAGACCGACTATTCCTAATTTATGATATATAAAAAGTCCTGCATATAGGACACCCATATCGAAATATTTCGAAATTGCATCAAGAACCACTCTTTGTCTCTCTATCCACAGTGCCGCTGTGAAGTTCCCTATCATTGCCTCTCTTTCCGGAACTCTCTCGCCAAGATTCTTTTTATCGGAGTTCATATTGAACTTTGATATCATTAAATGTATACCAAAATTTATACCCGAAAGAATGACTTATGTGGACCGACTAGTGATGTGGAGTCAATTCATGCACTAAGCACGAAAATAGGTTACTTTGATGCTTTCCCGATTATGAGCTTTCCTTAGCACCTACTTATGTCTATGACAAGATCAGAAAGATTGCAGCATGCGCTATGGAAAATGAGCTTGGCGATCTCTTCGAGCTGTTTCGCATCGGTGATCATTATATCTCAATTTCGATCTGGGAATCCGCTTCGCCTATATTAAGCGAGGAGAGAGATGTAGTACGTGGATTCCGGGTATGATTTCTGTTGTACTTTTCAAACCTCGTATGATCTCCCGGATTTCTAGTTTGGCTTTTAATGCCAATAGTGATGTGAATGGAAGGCTGTGCTACACGTCGATTTGTTTTTGCCGAGGTGCAGATGGTATGTACATCCGGAATTTGGCGCTGGGCCCTTAACTCCAATCCGATGTCTGTTGTTTAGTCGAGAACGTTTTCGAAATTCGAATTAATACACCAGGGGCATCATTTACACAAACCGAGCTGGTAGTGTCAAGATGGGTGTAAGAATCGGGGATCCATCTTCAAGATGCTCTCGTAAATTATCTTCGGCCACGCCCTCCCTGAACAGGGGCTCGATCAGTCCAACAATTGTGAGTATCGCTTCAGCAATTTGTTTTATGCTTTTTATTAGGTTTCCGCCGATTTTATAGCAGGTTAATGCCGATGAACATACTGTGTCCTAAGTGATTTCGTCTGTATATGATTGACGTCTCTCATTGACTTGCTCTCAAGTTCAATGACGAGGTTAAATAGAGAGTGATATTCAGAGATGTAGTTGTGGTCTTTGGCTGGAGAATTGTCTTGCAGCATATTTTGCGACGACATCTGTGCGAAGAGTTCCCTATTCGGTGGCGAACGTTATTGCAGGATATATGGGCTGGTGGACGAATGACGTATGCTCCACCCTCTCGAATAAATATGTCACACCACAACAGTTGATGCTGTGGAATCCTTACTGCACCTTCAAGAGAAGTCCCAACTTGATGTCTAAGGTTTCGCTGAGACCGGAGTACCTTGAAACAAAAGGGCGTATTCCGGATGGAATGCAAGACCTTGAAGACTAGTGTCTATTAGGACAACTAACCACGAGTCATCTGATACTGGTTCAGACCTTTTGACCTTCGCAGAGCTTTGCGAGACGTAACTCCCCGTGAGAATCTTGGATCATTGTGGATATAGTCACAAGAAATTTCAACGAGAATTGGTGACCGGGAAATTCAGTAGGTAAGTAACTATTGACTGGTTACTACATATGCCTGAGATTTGTACGTCATTTATGTAGAAGTGTACGTACTTCCAGATTATCTCTTGTCCCACTGCATCTACCACAATGATGTTGAGCCTCCACAATATTGAGCCAGAGTACAGCTGACAGAGCGTTGTATTCCGGAAAGAGACTTCTGCCAGTCTGTCAAAACGATGAGACCCGTCTTCGACAATGCAATGTCTCCAGACCGAGACCTAACCAACGCTAGCCTGAGGTTTCGTAAAGCGTTTTGACCTCTCTCGAACCCGAGAAATATCGTCTATAATGACAAAATAATGGCACATTCCGATGCTCCAACTAAGGAGGAATTGATGTGGTTCTAAGAGAAGGTCCCAGCCACAGTTGACAGAAGTCCCGGCAGAAAGTTCCAGGTCAGATTCTGCACGGAGCCTCCTTTGAACGGAATTGTGGAGTGGATAGCCAACAACTCACACGAGACTCATGGAAGAACTAGCATTTTTACCAAAATTGGGACTGCTATTGCTGTTCATCAGATTAGTCGTGGATCTCAAAGATACAATATCAGGAATGACAAACTGCATGGCTTCAACTTCTAGATCCCATCAAGTTGTCAATCTCCCGCAGTATGAGACCACCATATATTATGTACCACTTCGAGATGAATGCTTTGACTGGATCTCGGAATGTAAGTTCAGGTTCTCAATGCGAGTTTGAGATTGTGGTTGTTGTCAAAGGTAAAGACCAAAGCACAATGTGACTTCTTCCAAACAAATATAGCCAGAGAAATGTAGAAGACCGATGTGTCATTTCTCTCATGGACTGCGAGAATGATGGAAGAAGAGAAAAGACCGAAACTTGGGAGATGAAGGGGATTATATAAACCTAAGGCTTGGGATACATCTCGCTGAGCCTTCAAGTGCCGTTTGTAGCCACGGCACCTTCCTCCTTACACAAGAAGAATGCACTTCTACTCTTTAGATGGTGTAACAGTATACAGTACGGACTTACGTATCTCGTGTAACTAAACGAGGCAAAAATGCCGCGGGAAATTTGGAAATTTGTTGTGAAACGCGAGGAGATGACTAGTTTGGGCATTGAACACATATGCCTGATGCCATTATCCATGAATTAGAATTCTCATCTCGAATTTGCTCAAAGATTTGTCGAGACAAAAGATGTGGTACGACAAAGTCAGGCTTTACTGGAGCCTTGAATGTAGACAAACGAAGGGGTGTAATATACATAATGGGCCGGATATCTATGTGGTGGGGTAATAACGGCTGTGATACCCGAATACATTTTTCTCTTGACTCTGAGTCTTGATTTAATGACGTGTCATGGTTTTCAAGGCTGGTGATTCCACTCATACCATTAAAAATCTGTCTTCATTGAAAGGCTCGACTAATCCGGTGACAAACGCGAAACTCCCTCACGCGTCTTCCCGTGCCCCTACATTCGCAATCCAGTCCAGTGCAAAATGATTGGAGTATATTTTTCATTTTGAAAAGCTCGTGGAACATGAAGTTATGGCCCATATTCCAGTGGACTCGTTCAATTTGATCCTCTTCCCACATTCTGCATGCCGGCAATGCGTAATCGAGTGATTACGACTCCTGTGAGCTAGGCGCCAACAGCCACCCCGTCCTGGGAGGCGCATGTATCCGTGTGACGGGCCGAATATTAGTATCTGTTAACCTATTATTGATTGGAAAATCCCTCATTTGTAGCCTCACGTCTACCTAGACGGCTTCTTGCCGATTCGCATATTTTTTCCTCGTTTTGATTCATACTCTGTATGCAAGATCGGCTTATTTGATTGGTCTCAGTGAAGCCAGGCTTTTTTTCTTTTACCGGGTGGACTTAGATGCCCGATGGTTTAGGGCGGCGTCACACCAATTTTAGGAGGTTGTTAACAGGTGAAGATCACGCCACTTGGTGTGATGTAGCTCTAGCACGTGATATCATCGTGATGTCGAAATTTTTACAATGAGGCGAGTGCTTGATTCGTCTTTACCCACAGTAGTTATGGTTATACTCAATTTTATCAAGCAATTCATCTTAAGCTCGCCAGCAAGTATCTCTTCCCCATTGGAATATATATTTTAATTCTGATAATTCTTTTGTATTCTGATAAATCTCGAACATTCATGTTTAGTTGTTCCATCTAAGCTCGAACATTGTGCCCTCATCACCCATTTTGAAGTTGAACAATGAAGCCTCAAATTCCCACTCTATTCCGAACAATGAACTATGGTTGACCGATTCAAGCTCATCCTCGTCCTACGCAAGATTCACATCATAAATGACATTCTGGTAGGGGTGCTCACAGCTACTTTGAAGTTGAATGGCCCTCATCCTCATCCTCTGATGGAAATTCTGTCACTGCCCACTCCAAGAAATGATTTGAATGCTCGAACGGAAAATCATAGTCAAGCTTCTTCAATCTATGTCTCATCACCAGTCCAATCGCACCCTCCTCGTCCTGGTTCCACTTTTTCCTACCCCATTGTTTGTCCGTCTCCTCAGGATCTCGGAAAACGCACTGCGCGAAGTCCAGCATGACAATACGATACTTGTCTTGGGTAGATTGCCTCGTAACCATGATGTTTGAAGGCCTCACGTCCTCGTTCAGAATTGAGTAGTCGTCAAGAAGCCGTACAACTCGCACTGCCTCGTGGCAAATATCTCCCCAGGACTCCCTTGGTGCGTTTGTTGGCAACTCCGATAATGTATACCCATCGATGAGCTCTATCAGAATACCTTTTATCTGAAAGAAATCAGTAGCATTATCTGAAACTTCATCTACTGCTGTGGTTGCGTGCAATCTGACTTGTGCTAATAGTTGTGGGATCTCTTTACCCTGCAAGTGTTCCAGTTTTCGATACACTGTCGTCTCAGCCTCATACATTTCAAGACACAGATCGTAAAGATAAGCTTCGTTTTGCCCCATGGTCCAGCCTTCCTTGGATTCCTCAAAGTCCTCATCGTTTCTCAGTCGGTCTACGAACTTTGAAGCATCACCACTCTTAACGTATTCAACAAACGCCGTCTCTTTAGCAGCAGTTGACGGGCCAATCTTGTAATCAGCTCGGAGTTGAGACGCAAATCGTCGGTCAAAAACTTTGAGCACGGCCCGTTTGTTGTCAGGCTGATTCAGTAACTCCACTTCCATGACACAGGAGAGTGTTGGTGGCTCGAAGAATCTGATTATCTTGCAAGAAGTAGTATCTCCATTGGGTTCTGCGTCTGATCTACTCTCTGATCGCAGCTCCAAGATTGCTCCCTCGGTATAGATACTCCTCGATGTTTGTTAGCTAGTAAAAATATTTCTCGCGCCATGTCGACTCACTCTATGTCTTTGTCCATCTTTGACAATGATGATTGACTCGTCAAGTATAGTTATTTCACAATATTTCTTGCAGATATTTGTAGAAATTGAAGAAACAAAAGCATATATCCAGTTTCAATGGACAGTTTGCCATATATAAAGGGATCCAGGAGGCAGTGAATGAGCATGATGAGCTGATCTAATTGCCGCTTTAACAATTACTTGTGGACGCTTTAAGGAATTCATTCGAGGTGAATGTAATATTGAATTCACTTGAATAATCAGCCCCAGATCATACAAACCAGCAAGAATATTCGAAATATGCTGAGCAACAGTCGGTGCATTTGGAAGAAACTCTTGTAACATGCGTTTCGGCACGGCTAGACACAATACCTAGAGGTAAGAGCAGAGGTGTCACCATTTCATTTTGAACTACTTTTGCACCCACAATGGTATAATCTTCACTTGCGAAACCACTTGAACCCATTAGTAGTGTCATAAATCAGGTAATTGAGGTCCGTCTATGTCAAGCTGCCAATCACAGTCTCCCTTGCCACCCTTCCCATTTCCCGTACCTCTTCGATTCCTCCTCTGCAGCCTTTTCCTCATTCCACCAGGATACTCATTTTGCGTCATTCTTTCAACTTTGTCGAATTCATTATTGTGATCCCTCAATCTTAACAAGCAAAGTTGCACATCTTCATCCCCAGTCAATTCGAGCTTCTTAGCCAGCTTACTGATGACTTGTACTGACGAATTCGAGGATCGTTTTAGTATCGGAACTGCGTCAAAGAATACATTCTTCAAAGACTTTTGATAGTCAGGAACCAGCTCATCATTCTCACAGTCACTAACAATACCACGTATTCCATATACAAAGTCTCGAGGCTCTGTCGCAATGAAACTATCCAAACATATGTCGATACACTGGCCCAGTCGGAAGAGTTGTCCTCTTTGTGCCCAGTACCTAAACATAGTGATATGTCGGACCGCCAAAGTTTCTTTCATCGTATCGTTCCAGGCATCTCCGTGGTCTCTAGATCTCGCCAAATTCTTTAAACCTTCGTCAAATATTTCACCAGGGATATTTCTACTACCACAGCATACTAAATATTCTCGGCCGAGGCATATTTCTTGCATCATCCAGACTCGGTGCCAGTACGATCTTTGACACAAGGCCAGGAGTGCTGCGCGCCAATCCTTACGATTTCGGTCTTGTGATTCGGCAATTTGTCTTTCCCCTACACGGGTACTTTCCATTATTTTCAGGATCTCTATTGCAAGATCACTATCATCTTTCGCAGGACCTAGCCAGAGAATGACTCTTTGTGCTCTCTTGTAAATTTTTTGCATGATGTGTACCTGGCGATTTCTCTCCAGATGATCGGATTGATTGATACATAGAGCATCAATCCAAATATACCGATCTTTGTCAACAAACCTTAATTGTATAAGAGCATCGTATAGGTTCTTTCGAATCCGAAATTTGCAATCATCCACAAGAATGATTGGGTCATCGCTACTGGCTACTTTCCACTCATATGACAACGCTTCATATTTTATCGTACCCGAGGGATCTTTCAGGTCTATGTGGAGGATCGAGCTTTCGATG